AGATAGATAGATAGATAGATAGATAGATAGATAGATAGATAGATAGAACTACCCTTTACCCATTTGGCAAAGGGTATTTCCTAATTATCATTTCCTGACAAAATCACTTAAAAACTGAAGTGTTACAAGAAACAACAACGGTTGCATTACCCCGTACAAACAAACATGGCTCGACAGAGCTGTAAATTAAGATGGATTGGTTTTGTTGTGGCCCTGAGGCAAAAGAACAAAGGCTAGTGAAAAAAAAGGAAATGGTCATTTGGATAAGTCTGTTCTTCTGACCCTGTCACATCACCAAAACTATTACCGCAAAGATCTGGCAGCTCTCAGGAGGCCCTTGCTGCCCAAATTCCAATTAGAGAGATTAGAGAGGAGTCAAAACAAGTGCAGTGGAGTTTCTCAGTCAAAGAATCTGACTCAATTCAAAGCAACATCAAAGTGGATGTTATGGAAAGCTCGAATGGTGAGCTCCTCATGACTCTCTGTTAACTACAAAAGAACCGACCATCAGACCAGACAGTTGAGACCAAAGTCTGCAGTAAACACAAAAAATCTGCTACTACCAAAAAACAACATTCTTACATGGGCATGCATTATGTGTAAATGTCAGGGTTGCAAATATTCTCCAGCGCACAGTGACTTCACAAAGACCTCCTTTCACCCACTGAGAGCGCTCAAAAGAACACACCCCAGTTACACTTTCACTTTGATTCATTTCTCATTAGGGAAAGGAGTCCATAATGCAGAACAGAACCGAAAACCCATCAGTGTTGGATGGCAGCCAGACATAAACAACGACCAGATTCACTGGACCAGGGAACTGCTCTCACTGTAACTGTACCTGCGTAGCTATACTGCTCTATAACTTACATTCTTTACTATCACACAGGATGCCACAGATGTCCCAGATTACAGGATGAGGGCCAGTGTCCTCTTCTACCTATTTCGAACAAATGGGCGACTTCTAGCTACAAGCGGTTGTTCATGGCGACTTGCTTGTAATAGTGTTTCCAGAATTGGAATGTGGTTCCCCAGAGCAGATTTGTAAATACCCATACAGAGACAGACATGCTCTTCAGTTTGTCTCCACTGCTGTCAGAAGTCATTACACACAAGCTGCGCTGCCAGAACAATTCACTGAACTTTGAATTCAAGTGCTTCCAAGCTCAGAGGGAGGCAGAGAAGGGCCAGATGAGGGGGGGAGGTTAACCTTTAACCAAAGGTTTTCATGCCTGCATTTTTCATTTTTCTCTTGGAAAGTGATAACTTCTCAGATGTCTTGTTGAATTCTTTCAGTATGAAAGAGAAAAAGAAATCTCTTATAACTTTTCTTAAAACAAGAAAATAACTTCAACTTTTGCTGGCCAGTGCAATGACAAATATAATGTGTATCGCTTTGAATCAAGTCACCAACAGAGCAACAGCAAGAACAACTAGGGTTAAAAGAATTGGATAAAGATTATTTGAGTCATAGTCAAGACCAGTGTCTAGACCAGCAGGAACCATAACAGCTATTAAACTGTTAAACAGTGAAGGAAGAATGCTGTCTAAATTTTGGAGAGATTTCTTTTGGAAGATAATGAAAAGTGAAGAAATTATCCCAGAAAAGCAATAAAGTGTATCAGTTTCAGCAAAATGTCAACTGTCTTTGTATTTAACTGAACATAGAGTGAAAAGGATTTGCACATCACTGGATTCTATTTAAGTGATGCCTTGGAACTGAGTTTTGCAAACAAATTATTGACGAGACATTTTGAGATTGACAACCAAATTCAGTTTGACAGCAACCACCAGTCTATAAAAAAAAAACACTGCGGTTCACAAAAGTGCTCATTTCACTGTCATATGGAGATTTATGGGGCCACATTAAAAAAAAGGAAAAGTAAAAATAAAATCATTAACATAATGTAGAGTATTCAGTAGCCTATTGTCTACTCAGCCCTCGAGCGCTGGATAGCTTTTTCTTTTTCTTTTCTTTTTTATTATTTAAGGCCTTAATATAGCAAACAATAAGTCCCTTGTGTTAAGGCCATTGTGTCATATTTGTCCATGAGCACTTTCTTCTTCTCTCTGTGGAGTGTGTGGAGAGGTCATGTTTCAAACAAGAAACTAAAACTGCTGTCTGCCTTTGTGGAATGAACTCTGGTGACATTTGCATGGCTTTACTGTTTGCCATAGTTAACAATCAACAGGAACAGTTTATCCCATTATAACTCAACTGTGCATTGCAGGCTATTTCTTTTTAGCTGAAACAGCTCGGGAGTGTGTCCATTGTTTCGTATAACACAGATTGTATTGCAGTTGAATTATCTACAGTTGATTTTACAGATTTTATGACTGTTGCTATCGGTTACCTTAATCTGTGATGAAAAAGCAGTGTGTCATGTTTCATACTATATTTGTTTTAACATGAGCCCTCTATTCCACTAGCAAGCTAAATCAATCAGTTAGTCTTGGCTCATTCCTTAAATGTGAACTCCTTTCCCAGAGTCCCATCGTTAAACATGTTGTTTCATCCTGAGACATTTAATTTGCAATAGATACGAGGGATGCTCTGTGATTTGGGCTGGTGTGCGGTCAATAAAGAGCAATGAAATGACAAACAAATGTACATTAGGTTGTTTTTTATAAAATGCTTGCGTCTATTAGCATTGTGAGGTGGTAGTACAAGGATGAATTTGCACACTACGAAGTACTTTGTTCCATATTCAGACCAGTTTAGCCTTTGCACAAACTTCTGCCAAAATATCCGTAATCCGAATAATCGGGAATCCATGAATAATGAGTTGTTTTTTAACCATTTTGCAGATGTTTCAGTTGGACAAATTCCGGTTTTCGGGGTCATCCTATTGTTGCAAATCATACAAAAATCAGATGTAAGAAAGAGGGAGGCTGCTGATGTTGTTGAGTAGTTTGTCAGTTGTGCAGACATGCCACAGACACACCACTATTACGCTCTTCATCAGAGTGTAAAGCAAACAGAGCCTGTCTAGACATGGTCTAAATTTCACTGAGATAGTGAGGGCCAACAACAGGAAACAACATGTACAGGCCTGCTTTTAGGAAGAAATGGATATGCTCACTTTCTGTTCACAAAATTGGAAAAAAAATACCACAAATTGACATGTTTTCAAATATTAAACTCATACTTACTTTTCATTCACAAGGGACAAGCCTTCATCTTCTTTCAAACATGCTCCTATATTATCTGATTTAGAAAAAGATAATTGTGAAACAGTGATGGATGTCATCTCCTCTTGTCCTGTACATGAGTCAACACACTTACTATAAAAATATGTACACGCTCACACCACACACACAGTAGCAAGGAAACCATAAACAGGCTGACTAGCTTTTCCAGCACATCTAAATATTGACTCTGTAGCCTATAATCATGCTGAGCCTCTAGAAAAATCGAAATAAACAAGAAGCCAAAAACCTATATGTCTGTGTGTTTCATGGGCACCGAAGCTTTTATATGCTGACACTGACAAACACGCGTTTAAAAGGGAGGCAACTTTGCGCTTATTAAAAACCAGACAATATGGATTCCTTCCAGAGTACTGGAGCTACATTAATTATTTTTTGGTCTCCGTATATACAAAGGAGCTCTTTCAGAAGCATTGAGCTTTCTGTCTCCAATCACACATCTGCTTTCACTTCAAATTCATCTTTAATATGACTCACATACAATAATTTTCTATTTAGAGACTTAGTGAGAAGAATGCGGCCACACTTTTACTAATCATTACCAAGTTTCCTAGTAAAAAGTCAGTTATTGTTGTTTTTATTTAAAGAATAGAACAAAAAAGTTCATTAGGATCCATATCAGGATTCTCCCTCATTTGGCTGTATGTGCTGACTCTGTGATTGTTGTTATTCCCTGAACATAATGACTGCTCTGCAGACAGGCTTGATTGATCAAATGAGGCTTTTGTGTTGACATTGGGCTGGATCTTTTTGTTTTTCTCAGCCAGTCCTTGTAGCTCATTAGCGCTGTGGCAAATTCAAAACCATTCTTGGTTTACAAAAGCCCCCCCTCCCTGTCAGGGTGTGTTTGTGAGGCCGCAAATCATCAGGAACTGATGTCCAACTGTCTAAACAAATTATGAATCATCATTGGACTCTTTGTCATAAAGCTTTCCAAGCTTGATAGAAAACTATTTAAAATGAAACCAACCACCCCCTTTGTTGGTTTTGGTTGGATATAAATATCAGAACTGCTCAAATCTAGTATTGAGTTTGTCATTTAAAACAGCAGCACAACACAACAAATCTTTGTTATCAGTTAACAAATACATATATTCTTATTTTCACAAGATTCTGCAGTAAAATGCATTACTAAGATTGATTTGACCATTTGATTTTTGTCTCAAATGTACTAAAGATACAAACACAGATGGCTTTCTAAGATACATACATTGTTTTGTTTTTTATGACAAAACAGTGAGAAATCGAATATGTTTGGTAACTAAACTTACAAAAGAAATACAGAATGGCAGTGGTTTCGGTCAGAGGTCTACAGTTCTCAAAAAGCACCCGTAACGGGCTGGAGCTGAGCCTGAACCTGAGCCTATCCCAGCTGACACGGGCCAGAGGAAGGGCACACCCTTGACCGGTCGCCAGTCCAGCGCAGGGCCACACAGAGACAAACAACCACACACTCACATTCACTCCCAGGGGCAATTATGAGTGTCCAGGGACTTATCGGGCCTCTTATAGGGCCTAAAGCTGCACCAGGGTGCCTGCATCCCAGTCTGACGTCATCTAAGATGTTAATGTAGCATGAAGTCCCCTTTGGGTTGCTGTGTACTATAATAGTTTTCAGGGACAATATAAAACTGCAAACCTGTACCATGTAGTGGAGTTTAGGAGTCTTATGACACGGTTCCTTTTCAATTTTTCATTCAGCAACACTGCCTTCTAGAGGCCAGTAGCTTTACAGGGGTCCTATTTTATTTTGTATCATTCATTCTAGTTTTAAGGTGGAACTGAGGCTGGTGAGGTTCTCCAGAGAGCATTAAAGTACAGCAGATAATCTTCTCTGACATTTCATTGACCTTTTGCTGCAGAGCAGTTTATATTCCACGCTGTGATGCAGAAAGTTAAACACTCTCAATAATTTATCACACTCTTCTTCTTGTGCTTCTGTTGTAATAGTATTACCATTCTTTCCAAAGAACTAAAACATTCTTCTTTCACAATGGTCAGTTTTAATAAACAGAACAGCTCATATTATCCCTGGCTGAAGTTACCTCGATGTCAAAGAAAAAAAGTCATTTAATGCGTAATATATGGGCCTGCATCCCAAAATGCCATTATTTCCAAATAGAATGGAATCAAATAAGCCATGTTCTCATTTTTCTTGGCAGCAATATGAAAGGAAAGCATTGTTCATACATCAAAACTGGAGAGACAGCTCAAAATCAGCGAAATCAGACCTCATCCTGGCGCTGGATGTTTACATTCCAGGAGTTGCAAATAGGCCTCGTTGAGAAAAAGCAGACTTTGCTCTTATTACCATAACAGAATATGTTTGTGAGTCTCCAGATGGGTTCAGTATGTGAATGTGTATGAACACAGTGTCAAAATTCAGCTTTGGATGTTCCATAAAAAAGTGTTAAAATCATTACAGTGTACTGATCTGAAGGATTATCTTTGCAGCATAAAGGAGGCACGACAACTGAAATTTTCAGACTGGGACCACACACCGACATGAAAGTTTGGCAATGAGTCTATTTCCATTTGTTTATTAATTTAAAAAATACAGGGTTAGTCATAATGGATGAAATGGAATAAACACAGTGTGAGTTGTAGGTTGTAGATCCAGTGGAGCTCCTTGCGACTTCATCAGTTCAGCAGAAAGAATGATGGAAAACCACGGAATGCTCAGCAGGACTGATATGCTTCTTACCACCAGATCTAACCTGCTAGATAAGAATGTCAAAACAACATTACTATTTTTACTGCCAGAGTTTGATTGCTGATAACTACCTTCAAAGTATCCCTACCTTATTTGTTATGCTTCTTGGAAATGGAAATAAACTCTTTCACGTCATCAGGAGATCCCAGGATGACAGGGACTCTCTGGTGGATGTTGGTGGGCTTGATGTCCAAAACATTCTGTGATCCAGTGGTGGCCATGCCTCCAGCTTGCTCAATGATGAAAGACATGGGGTTGCACTCATAAAGCAACCTCAGCTAAGTAGCAGGAGGAGAAGAATCGTGGCAGGATAAGGATTTTGCAGTTCGTTGACACAGATTAATTAAATGTCGTGAGTAGACTTTTTAAAAAGTATTTTTAGGATCTGGACCTCCTCACCTTGCCCTTTGGGCTCTTGACATTAGCAGGATATAAAAAGATCCCTCCATAAACCAAAGTTCGGTGAACATCTGCTACCATTGAACCAACATATCGGCTCCCATATGGTGCAGAACCATCCTGGATGAGAAGAATCAAATTTATTTACAAGTTATCAGCTTATCAAATTCAAAGGCACATGGGGGGTGGAGCCCATTCCATCCGTCTTTAGACATGCACAATGATTTATTTAATACCAATATGAATATGGTAGACATCATCAAAGGTGAGACTTACCTCTGGGTATTTCTTCTTTTTCAGGTACTCTGTCACATCAGGATAAAAATGTTGTGCATATCCTTCATTCAAACTGTAGATTTTTCCCTTATTCTTAATCTTCACATCCCGGTCTACCAAGATGAATTCACCAATTGACTGGAAAAAAATACAAACAACATCAAATATTGTGAAGTTATACACACTGACCTCATTCGTGTCATAGAAGAGTTTTGACAGCATCCGTCACATTGAACCTTATTCTTACTGGGTCGAGCATGAAGCAGTTCACTCCCTGGCCAGTGGAGAGGACCATCATGGTGGCGCTGCCATACAGAGCGTAACCAGCAGCTACAATGTTTCTGCCAGGCTGCAAAGCATCATTTTCACATGGCTCCCCATCTGTAGTCTGTGGAAAAGTGGCATAAATTGATAAGAAATTCTGTGAATCAGCAACATGCAAGTGATTTGGTCCTCTTCCTCGACAAATAACAAGAAAATCTCCAACAACATGCCCGCTGTGTTCACAAAATAAAGGGTTCTCCTTTCATGGAAATAAAAATGAACTATCTGTAGATCTATTCCACTGAACATTACTTAAAAATGTGCTAACCTGATGTGCTGACTTTATTGTGCTTGGAATAAACATTCTATAATCTCAGTCACTGACCTTTCTGTAGATAGCAAAGATTGTTCCGATGGAGACAAGACAGTCGATGTTGGAGGACCCATCCAATGGATCGAAGCACACAATGTACTTCCCCTGTAGGATTGAGCAAAAATGTTATTTTCAAACCATGCAAAAAAACTAATTATGAAGCAGTTCAGCTGACAAACGTGAATTTAAGTCATGTAGAAAAATACACATACTCTCTTATCTGGTTCCACGATAATGGCTCTTTCATCTTCCTCAGAGACTAGTACACATGAAGTGAAGGAGGACTTGATCATGTTAATGACGAGGTCATTGGACAGGACGTCCAGCTTCTTCACCTGGTCCCCCGTCACGTTGGTGCTCCCAGCAATGCCATATCTAACCAATGAAAGCAGGGTTAAGTCCTCACAACCTGAAAACTGGTTAAAAAAAATCTCTCATGTGATTTATGTTTTAAAACCCAATTAAGGAAAATGAAGGGAATAAAAACAGGTCACCACTAACTAAAACTACAGTAGTCTTGACCTGTGCTCTGAGGAGTTGTGCAGAACATGTGCAGAGTTTACCTTTGGTCAGGCTTAGCTAACTCTGCATGCTGATACTCATTCTACTCTTGTGACTACTGTTAATATATAGAATGTATGATTTATATCATCAAGAAAAGGGTGTGTGAGTCATTCTCTGAATATATAGGCAGATTAATTGCCAACAGGAATTATGTATAACACATTTTAGTTTATACTTAAAAGTGAAATGCAAATATTTTGTCAAAATTACAAAATTTGAATTGAGTAAGTAATGATACTCACAGGTTAGCAATCCCAGCCTTCCTGACAGCAGTAGAAATGGCTTTGACAGCTGTGCAGATGGAGTTGAGCAGGGTTGTAAGCTCACCTGTCCCTTGGGCCTTCCTACCCTCCTCCAAAACAAATCTGGTAAGGGTCAGCACATTAGTGTCGAAAGCTCCTTTGTCAGACATTTTGCTGTCAGGTGCTGGACTGCTACCTACTGCTGAAAGTGGGAAAGATAATCTTTCCCCAAAGTTAAAAAGTGCACTTTCGAACAGAGGTAGGGGAAGTAATGGGGGTGTGAAGCTCTTCTGACCAATCACAAGTGTCCTTTCTTACAGCAAGCGGTTGGTTTGATCACTTGTGTGAGTGTGGGTTAAAAATTATCAAAGTTCAAAGCTCAAGAGCTGATTTCATCTTAAAGGAACAATAGCCTTATACTGATTAAATTAATTTGACAGTTTTCTTCTTTTTTCGTTACGGCTTAATTTCTTTGGTTTTTTGATATCCACAAAATGTTTTTATTCTCAACAAAAGATTAATTGTTTTTATTTTGTTCATCAAGCTGATGTGCATCAAAAACACATTTAGCCAAAATGACATTTAAACAACACTGCAATAATTTCCCATCTGAGTTGTTTTTCCTTTATGCCAGTGCAACTTCAGGGTAAAATTTACATTCAGATCAAAAGGCTCATTGTCCTCGTGTGTCCTGACTCAGTTTTAGAAGCACTGTTAGAACTCTATTTGCAAGATTATCTTGTACATTCTGTCTCTGAGGAAAGGTATCTCTGCATGCAGATAATGATCTTATTGGACTCAGTCTGTGACGTAAACACAGAAAGGTAAATGGACTTTGCATTGTGATTTGACCAACATAAGCTTTCACAGACAAAAAATCAACTCAGGGATTTGTTTCACAACACAAAGGTAAAGCCGAACTTTGAACTCAACAAGATAATAGGTAAGATAATGTCCACCACAGCAAGGCAGTTTGTGACAGCCTGGATGAGAATCCACACCAGCATGAAAAACTGACACAATGTGAAAATATAATATATGAAGTGAGAATAAAAACAGTAATTCCTGCATACAACAGATGGACTTCATTGTTGTTGGAGAAGAGTTGTAGCTCTCTCATTAGAGCACCTTTTCATGGAAATTTGGTTTTGTTAAATGTTCTTGATGGTGATGACATGACAACTCGCCTCAATAAAAGCTCCTAATATATCACACAGGACTGGTCCTTATATTGAACCACAGATGGCTGACTCAATGTCATCTTCTTTAGGATCTTATACAGGGTGGTATTGAATAGGACACTGATTGTATGGAGGTTGATCATTTCTCCTTAGGAACTGCAGAGGGCGCTGCTGCTCAGTCAGCAGATAGAGTTTTGCAAGAAGACAACCATTTACTTTATTTTAAAGCAACGCTCATCTTTTACCGCTGAACACTTTGTGAGACAGAACAGAGATGATTATATTAAATGAACTGCTCGGTGCTGTCAGTCCTTTTTGCTTGAAAGGAAGTAAGTGTGAGTGAAAGCATCATAAAGGGAGCTTATTATAACAACAACAACAACAAAAACACAAGCTTTAGTGTGAGTGTTGCTGCAAATAATTTGCAGACATTTGGAGACAGAGACCAATCTGAGCCACATTACTGTGTAGAGTAGGTACATTTATTAGTCACCAAGTCAGTGACAACAGTGACCGCTTCTGTGCACGGTGGATTATTGCTCCCAGGACTGTGGACCGGATCGGCGAACAAGACGAATTCAGTTGACCTCGTCGTCCATCAAATACGTCTCTCCTAACCACGTGGTGCACTGCCATTCCAAGAAAAAAAAGCTGCTGGATTTTATAGTGTTCGATGTGTGGCAACATAAATTCCCCACCAATCTCTAATTTATGCCAGCAAAGGGCAGTCAGTGCGCATGTGCATACGCAAACACGCTTCAGCCAAAGTGTCGAAATCCGGCTAAGAACTTCAGGCTTAGACTCTAACCCATTTACCACTCGTCCCTGGAATCCCATTGTTCAGTCTGCAGGTGGGATGGTGCAAATTATAATAAGGGTCATGCATGTAAGGAAATAAATACGTATTTACTATTCTGATGACAACAGGTGCTGATTTTTAGAAATCTAAAGAGTTCAAATTATGTGCTTGTTCATGTCACAATGACAAGCATAGTTCAGTTCTCAGTCTTTTTGCCTCAGACATTCACCCTGAAATTCAAGTGTAATTTCTTCCCTGAAATATTCGATTCAAGTTTTTAACAGCTTTTCATTCATTTAGTGTGATGCTCAACTATCATTATAGCTTGTGTTAATATTCATTAAGCCTACCATTATCTCACCCCTTGACCTAAAATGCTTGTTTTTGGACAGAAGGAGAAGAGGAAATCTCAAAACAGACAGGCCTCTAACCCTCAACCCTCTTGCCGTGCAAATCATTTCCACCAAACAGCCTTAATCACTTTGGTATTTTATGTATTATGACCAATTTAATTAAAAAATCCCATTTGCACCGTTATTTGTTTTTATGAGTAAAGGAAATCATTAATCAAAGAATTGTGATTGTGATCCACACCTACCTGTGCACTAGAGCTTTCAGAGCTGTCTGTGTCTGTGACATGAATTAACAATTCGCATTAAAGTACATGAAGTCCCTGGTTTATTTAACTCCATCCCTTCGCAGCACATTCATGCATTTCCCATTCTTATTCCTCCCAAGGATGCTTCATGTTTGAGAACCATGAGACAAAGTGAGCTTTGTGTTAAATGATCTTGCTACTTGTAGCTGTTTCAAGTTGAGTTTACTGTGAACATGAAGGGGTGACAATAGTCAGCAACAATACACAGAAATGGACACTCTCCAGACCAAAGAAGATCTTGATCATTTAATTCCTGAGATTCCTTTCAAACTGATTATTCTGCTTTCTATCCTCACCTGGCAGATGTTGTCCTCTGGTGTGGTCCTCTGCCTGTGTGGGTGGGCCATCTGCTTTTTCTTATATGGGAAAAGATACTATGGCCAGTCTGCAAGAGCTCAAACTACATTGGCCCTTCTTTTCTAACCTCTGCTGTCAGAAAACCATTTTTGTCCAGAGGACTGTCTCCTACCAGATGTTTCATTTTATTTAAGCACTTCCTTTTTTTTTCAAACCATTCAAAATAAAATTTAGAAACGGTCACATGCAAGTCAGCGGTTTCTGAAATAGTGAAACCACACTCTGCCACCACATTTTTGCCTCTTTTAGATTGATTTATGTTTCTTGTTCTTCATATGGTTTTAGGTCTGCAGTTCAGCACGCACCCTTGAGTAGTCTGTTTTTGGTACAATTAGTTAAGAGTGTTCAACTCACAAGCTACTCAACGTCACGCAAAAGCCCAGATAAATGCAAGGGTTATTAAAGGGCAACAAGTGTAAAAACTCCTGCCAAAACCTACCATGTGATTAAAAAGGGATGACTTCGGATGGGGAAAAGCAACAACATTAAGCATATTGCAGTACTTAACACATTTTTTAGTAAATGCAAATGAATCAATAAATGAGGAATATGTAAATTCTAAATTATACAGTAATAGAGAGCAAGCCTCCTTGAATCCTCCGCTTTATGGAAATAGAGGTTGCTTACTGATGAGAATGTGATATGGCAAAGCACAGCAGTAAGTCCCAGCGGTGCAACAAAGCTTAGCCTTTGCTGACTTCAGTTTTGCAGAATTAACTATAATGTCTCATGGGCAGGTATTGCATTTCCTCTATGCAAGCATTGTAAACTAAGCTCTTAGTGGCTGCCCAACCTGAGCTGAGAGAGGCAAAGAGATGATTGGAGGGGAGCAGCAAGAACCTGAATGATAAGGCTGATAACTGAAATGTGAAGCAGAGTCAATTTATCATGTTTTTATTCATTTACAGTTTGGCCTGGATGTAAAGGGATTCCTTCACACTTTTCTAAAATGCATTCCTGTCTCAAGGCAGTTACATCATGAGAAATATTTCAGGTAGGTGTTACCAATATTATGCCAGAAACCTCAATGTTACGGTTTGTAATGAACAATCTTTGATGTGATATCTATCCACCATCATTGTACAAAGGGAATCAACCACATTTGTTGAAAGAAGTTATGTAATGGAGAGTAAAACTAAGCTTGCAAAGAAGGAAAGCCCGCCATCAGCTGTAAATGTTCGGAATTAGACATTTAAATGCAGGTACAATGAGTTGCATTGTACTACTTTGAGCTTAGCTTTTTGTTTACTCACCAGCTAAAATGCTGAGAGAATGTCTGTGGTCAAGAAAAAAACCTGCCCAGAGAATGTTAAGGCATTTAGAGGTAGAGTTGCAGGGTAATTATAGAGTGGGTTCAGTCTATGTAGGGAGACATACGATTTAGAGAAAAGTTACTGGTGAAAACAGTGTCTATGCAAGTGGAAATACCTCCTCTGTCCCTCCTTCTCTGATGGGATAGGCTTGTGGAGATTATAGTCAAACACTTTGAGGACTGAAATGGACATGCTCACAGAGCAACAAATCATACTGAGGTAAGGACAGAAAAAATTGCTAAAAATGTTTAAAATAACAGATTGGAATGTTAAGACTTAGAGATTTGCAATATTCATGTGTTCAAAAATTCCTTATATACATTTTTGTTTAACGCTTAATTTAATTCTTAAACTTGTAATATATATACAATTTACATAACTTTATATTATCAGAAATGGTTCAGGCTTTTATCTTAGAGTCTATCTTTTACCCTGTATATATGTAAGTGAAGTGAGAAAAAGACTGTTTTTCTATCCATCCAACAGGTCAAAGCATTGACGGGTGTTGCCCTAACCACCTGGGAGTTGATTGCAGTTATCAGTTGGATGTGGATAGTTTCCAAAACACCACCACCATTAAGCGACTAAGCCTGAAGAGGAGGCCCAGGGTGGCACTCAATGATGTGGAAAAAACAGAGGGGGGCATTTCAACAGGCAAATGGAATTCTGCAGAGTCCTTATCATCACCTGGCGGGGATGGTACGAGACTACTTGGTATGTCTTCTGCAGCGAAAGGTAGACCCCCTCTCCCCCCACCACACGGTTCATCTTTGGATAACAAGCCTTCCAAGAGTGAAGCTCCGGCCACCTCTTCTACACTTTATGAGTCGAAGCCCCAACCAGCCGCAAGATGTTTCATATCTCAAAGACAAAGCCCCGTGGTAGAAAAGACTGTTGTGGAGAGTCAAAAGCCTTTTAATCAGGATTTCATAAGCCAGTCGCCCCCTCAGCCCTTCCCCCGTCGACGACTAGCCAGCTTTGGAGGCGTAAGCTCCCCCGGATCACTTTCACCCTTCACTGGCCTGTGTGCGTACAACCAGAACAACAATGGGAACAAGCCCTCTGCCGATGGGTATGTCCCACTCGGCTCATCCTTAGAGACAAGAGGCAGCACAGGAAGCCTGCAAGTGACCCCTCTAAGTTCTGGTAGATCTACTCCACTTACAAGTCTCGGGCCCGTGCACCTACAGCATGTTCGCGACCAAATGGTTGTCGCGCTGCAAAAGCTGAAGGAGCTGGAGGAGCAGGTGAAAATCATCCCTGTCCTACAGGTAAAAATCTCTGTCCTTCAGGAGGAGAAGAGGCAGCTGATGTCTCAGCTCAAGAACCAGGGGGACAGAGAGGGAGTAAAAGATGTGATCTGGAAAAGATCATATGGCATAGATGGGCTTGACAGTGAGGATAGGGTGACTACTGTAGCAGATCTTGAAGGTCTTGAGAAAAGTGACAGCCCCGACTTTAGGGGGTTCAGGCAACTGACTGAGGAGATGCAGTTACTGGAAAAGGCCATCAAAGGGGGACATTTGCAAACACAGCATGGAAAGGATTTTAGCCCCTTGCAAGTCAAAACTGTTAGGTCAGTTGCAGTCGGGAGTGATATAGATTTGGACGTGACCTTGTCTAAACCCTCAAGAGAAAACAAATATGTGTCCACCGATCAAGTAGAAATGAGGTCCATTGCAACAGAAGCGTCTGAATTTACACTTCCTCCTAATACAGAACAGGAGGAAGAGCTTGTTGCCCAGCAACAATTAAATGCTGCCTTAACCGAGAGAATATGCCAGTTAGAAACAGAGTTGAAAGAATCAGCTCTCCAGACCGAGTTAACCCGTCTTAAACTGGAGCTTCATGTTGCTGGGGCCAGGAACCGAGTTGAAAAAGCTTGCCTCGCACGGCCATCCACTCTAAGTGTAGGTACAGAGACAAAACCTTTCACCAGAGACCAGGGAGTCGGTAATCACACTGAGTTTCGAGATGCCAGCACAGGAGAGTCAACAGAGGTGAAGACAGTGGGTGTTTCCTGTGCGCCTGAGATAAAAAACATCTGCACAGGACCTGATGTTCCCATGAGCCACTGGGAGATCAGGGAGCGAGTGGATACCAGAGAAAAGGCCGTTGGACATCATGTTTTCACAAACACGCAAGGAGTTGGAACAGAGATCAAGTTATGTGACGCAGAAAGCAACACGGTGGATGATCTGCAGACTATGACAGGAAAAATCAAATGTCATTCAGTGGCTTATAGAGATTCCTGTGATAATGTGTCTATTTGTGAAGAAAAAGAAATGGGTTCTCGCGGAATGGGCTCCTACCCAGTCCGAGGAGTTGATATGGGAATCATGGCATCGCCCCTAACAGCTTCACAGAATACCAACACTGAATCCAGCTCAAAGTCTCGCTTTACCAACACCAGCCAGGCCCTCAGCAGCAACTCCAGCACAAATGCTGTGGTCAGTACCCAAAACAAGCACACCAACACCACTCAGACTTTAACTCGGACGGTGTCCGTGGGCAGCAGGGTCAGAGACATCACATGTGCCATAGAAACCGACACCATCGGTGGAAATAATGAAAATCTCCCAGCCAGTATTTCAAAACGAACACCAGAGAAGGGGATCAAAGTAACTCGGGATTCTGGTGTCGGCTTCACTAACATTCATGACAATTTTCTGGTTGGACTGAAAACTCGAAATATGGCCTCTGGACCATCACATCTCCCTGACCCCGTCAAGACAAAAAGTATCGGGGTCGGCGAGGGGCGGATAAGAGATTTTTCAGTTTCAACTAGTACACCTGGAAAAAAATTCCAACAGCCTGCAAAGTTAGAGTGGGACCATGAATTGAACCATTACATGGAGAATTTGCACATGATCTTGATGGAGCACACAGGAGACAACAACGACCATCAGAAGTGCCCCAAGCCATTTTGCAGTAACAAAACAGTGGCAGAAGGAGAGACAGATATGCGTCAGGTTTCCTCTCCACCAACAGGTAAACACTATAGATGTAAGAAGTATTTTAAACCTCTTCTTTGTCCAACTTAATTCTCAACTTTTTTCTTTGTATTGCACATTCTCTGACTATTTGCAGTCAAATCTACGATTAAAAAGTTGTCACAAGCGGTCAGGAACTCAACTTGATGTCTTTAATGTTCAATATGTTGGCAGCATTCAAAAACTGTCCTCTTATTTCCTTGCAGCAAACACGGACTCCCCAACGTCATTTGACTCTTGCCAGAGTGGCAAAGCAAATACAGGAATCCATCAACAGGGTGGTAATGACTCAGAGGTGAAAAGAATGATTAAAATGTTAGAACAGCAGACGACCTCAGCTATGCAAGGTAAGCATCCAAGTCCGTGTCCAAGTCCTATCATCTTTTTCGATTTATGCAAAGCAGTCTAATTTAGACACATCTCAGATCATAATGCATTTCAAAATATGCTTTGAAACTACTCCTGCTGCCCAGTTTATATTTGTACTGGGTTAAGAGGAAGTGGCTGCCCTTGGTTTGGCAAGCTGACTTTCAGTGAAATACACTTGAAATGTTTGGAATGATATCTGGTTTTGGAAGTCAACTTATTCCACATAGCAGTTTGTGGTTGAAGGTCTAAACTTGTGTGGCTTTGTAGGGAGGAGCTGGTGTCTGGGAATGTTTTCTTTTTTCTTTTCAAATGGTTCCCTCATATTTGAAAGAATGTAAAGCTTCATACTATATCATCATTTATTTCCCTGACAGACCTCGCTGGTCTGGAAGTATTTTGTCGTTTGCGTTACATCTGATCCATGCTGAAATTTGGGCCTACTCTACATGTATTCAATTTCCTCTCCTTTATCTAAACATATCCTTTTAAACCCAAAATTTCATCCATTGATTTGTTATTGTTTCTAGACAAGTCAACTAATGCCTTTAAGCCACAATCAGCAATGAAGAAGCAGGGTGGGGACCAGTGCAGTGGTAGCAACCGGAAAAGCATGAAGTTTATGAGGGTGTCTGCAGGGTAGGCATCTATTAAATGCTTTACGGCTGACCATCTGATTGATAAATGGACATTCATTTTATTGAGATGTTTGTTTGTTTGTTTTCTATTAGATTGGAGCCCAGGTCAGTTTACGAGCACAAGGAAGCAGACAGAGCAGGAAATGAAAGATTTATGGGCTTTTCTCAAAATGGAATCAAAGCAAGAAAAGGAAATGAGGACTCCTACGACGGATCAACAGGAACAGCTAAATTATACTGGCAACAGAGGTGAAGTGGAACATGTCAATAAGTTTTTAAAGGCAAAACATCTCTCAGATTTCCTTCAGTTATACATGAAAAAGCACCGCTGCACTGGTGTTGATAACTACATCAAGTTTTTGCTCATAAACTTTCTCATCTTTTCAAAAGTCTGAACTCACCTATTTTAAAAATCACATGTTCTTTTCAGGTGTAAGCCAAATGAAAGGATTATTTCTGCTTGTCAGGCTCTAAAGATCCACCTGAGTGATGACACAACTCTATCCAGCAGAGAATTGGTTTGTTGTTTTTTAGTATGTTATGTATTGGCATTTTAATTAAACGTAAGAAAGGGCTCCACTCATTACCTCATATAAGTGAGAAAGCCATTTCAACTCTCAGTAATTATTTTAAGAGATACCAATAAAACATTTCATGACAAATGATTATTATGACACTTAAAGGAACAAAACTATTTGAATGCATTTTTTTTGGTTTATCACAATTTCTTTCTTCATTGTGTCATCTGGGTTTGTTTGAGATAATTCTATATAGTTACAAGTAGCAAACATCTAGACAGAATTACTGCACAAGAAATTGTGACAACTTCGTAACTGTCCTCTGTGTCCCTAGCTGCAGGACTGTCTACAAACTCTCCGACAGGAGTGGTTTTCTGTCTCCAGCCACAAGTCTGCAACTCCTGACATTGTAGAGGACTATCTAGCTACATTTCGGATCATTTCACCCTCAGTGTTGCAACATATAGCCAACATGGCTGATGGAAATGGAAACACTGCCCTGCACTACAGTGTTTCTCACTCCAACTTCGGCATAGTCAGAAAGTTGCTTGATGCAGGTACATGGAAACCCAAAGAGCAAGCACAGATCATTCTTTATTCAGTCTTTTTTTTCCTTTTTTTGGTGTCCTTTCTTTAAAAAAATACAATTTCCCTGGAATGTTCACTCTGTCTGCTATGAAAAAGGTTCCCGCCGTATTATGCTTCAAGCCTTCTTCATCTCCAAAGACACTGCTGTTGTTGGTCATTCAAAATTTTCAACAACAAATGTAAACAAAGAAGCAAGGCCATAGCTCATTGTTAATATCTGAATGCTGCTCAACAAGCCCTTTGTGATCACTTACATGCTTTCAAACGGCCACTAGAGGGCAAAAGTTCTCATATCTGTGTATCAATTCAAAACAACAGAAAACTCAAGCGTACAGATGACAATAGTCCACAAAAACTCACTGTAGTGAATGCTTGGCATCTAGTTTAATTAAGTGCTACAGACCTAAACTGTAAAAAGAAAAGTCTTCTTTAAGTAATAATGAAACTACCCTTAAAACAAATGCTTGTTTTGAAACTTTGGTGCAGTCATTACAGTAAAGTTCATATTCTCCTTTTCAACATGACAACCACCACTACAGAGGTGTGTAACGTAAATCAGCAGAACATGGCCGGTTACACACCTATCATGCTGGCGGCACTCTCAGCTGTGGAAAATCAAGAGGATATGAAAGTTGTGGAGCAACTCTTTGCACTAGGAGACATCAATGCCAAGGCGAGCCAGGTCAGTCGATCGTCTCCCATCAGCCGGGCCTGCTACACAGAATTATGAGTACATTTCAAATTTCAATGTTGCATCACAAACACATTCTTTTTATTATGGTTAAGCTATTTTGAGTCTTCAATTTTTGTGCCGGCCGTGTTTTGTTAGTGCAACTAACCTGATTATTGGAGAAAGAATGTGAGACAGTTTTACATTATGAACAATAATTGCTTTGCAGATTTTGATAACACATCACTGAAATTCTTTATTTTTCATTAGTATTATTATCAATATGATCAAACAACATTAATCACATTTGTCATTTTGTGTTGACCTTCTTTTAACAAGAACACCCTGCAAGTTTTTATGAAGCATTCCTTATTTTCAACTCTTTGTAGAAAATAAATGACTGACCCTTGCCTTCTGCTGTCCAGGCTGGACAGACCGCTCTGATGCTAGCCGTGAGCCACGGCAGGATGGACATGGTGCAGGCCCTCCTGGCACAGGGCGCGGATGTGAACGTCCAAGATGACGAGGGCTCCACGGCGCTGATGTGTGCGAGCGAACACGGTCACGCGGACATTGTTAAACTACTCCTGGCACAGCCAGACTGCGATGCCACCCTGACTGACAGTGTATGTGAGTCATTTCTTCCTGTCTGGGAAGCATCGCCCACCAGCTCTTAGAACACGGTGGCTTCGGCTGAGAAGCAGAAGCTTCTCACTCCTTACTTTGTCTCACACTTTGTATCACAAGAGCAGGGAGTGAAGACATTTCTATCACATGTGTCAGGGAAACATAGATGTCCATATGATATGTTTAACTGAGTCAATTCAGAACGCTTTTTGTTTGCTTGTACAATCTGTGACAACTTAGAATTGTTTTGTGTGTGAACAGGATGACAGCACTGCCCTGTCCATTGCATTAGAAGCAGGGCATAATGACATTGCAGTGCTCCTTTATGCTCATGCCAACTTCTCCAGACAGACAGGGGTAAGTTCCCATCAGCACCCAAAATGAATCTTTTTTTTTTCCTAGCACTTCATCTTGTGTTTCACCTGACAGGCAGTTGCTCGACACGGTGGAAGGTTTCTCTCAGGAGGAAGGAACATCTTTGAATGAGAGGATGTACACGAAGATGAGTGAATTCTTCATGATCACATGATCAGTGTACCTGACTGACAGTTTTGTGACACCTTTAATGTACAAGCAGACAAGATTGAGACATGTTTAATATACAAGCTGCTTCTTTTTGTCCGGTATATACGTATTGTTGAAATATTCTTTAATAAAGAAATAGCATAATTCATAATGCAAGCTACTACATAAATAGAGTCAACAGGTTTTACATTGAAGATTATATTTCATGTTGTTTATCAAAAGTCGTAAAACCTGGAAAATTTCTTCATCTTTTAATGGTAATGTATTTCAGAAAAATATTATACGCTGAAGCTTCTACTCTGCGTTTTGTGTTTTCATTTGGTGACCCTTACAGACAAACCGTAGAGTAAAACAGGACAACAGAAAACACGACGATCTTCTCAAAACACAAAATGTTTCAGTAAAGAAAAAAACAACTAATCAAAGTCACTTATCAGAGCACAGCAACAAAATCCAAAGCGCAATGCAAGAAAAACCTAATTAAAACGTGTAAAAAGAGAATGCATCATTGTGTTTTCTGCTGCACTGTTGAGTTTTCTGCATTTCATTGCGAACAGCTCTTGATTGTTTCTGTCCAATATTTTTGCTTCACAGCTGCAGGCTACTGTAATTGAATGAATTTGAAATTAAATCCCTAAATTGAAATTAAAATATTGAGAATTAGTACATTTAACTAAAGAATCAATGATAATTGCATTTTCATTGGTTAAACATCAAACTTATAGTTTACTGTATTATTAAATCATGATGAGACTTTGATCAAACTTTAAAAGAATAGCTGAGCTTTTTTTTCTATGTATCACATTTAACAAGGCTCAGTTTTAGCATGTTTCTTGCAACTTCTCTCCACTAGAAAGCTTGCCTGTATTTGTTTTGAAAAGTTACAGAACCGTTATCTGGGGGCATTCAAGACTTCAACACCCTGTTATTCCATCCAGGAATAACCTACATTTGGAATCCAAATTCTTACTTTTCTGCTCCTCTTCCAAATCACTAATGGCAGAACCCTCTAACCTCTTTATTTCCTCTTATCTCATGCAGAATTGTCAACACTTAGACCCCCCTGTCTCTACTACTTTGATTTGTAAATCTTTGCCAAGCTTTCACAGAAAGTTTCATGAAGAGTGTTTAACAAGACTCATTAAACTTTAAACATTTCCTTTGAGGACGGCTGTGAATTACTGGCTGATTCGCAGGCTTTTGGATCCGACGCTGCAAATCCCTGCCTGGATAACTGATCAGTCATCTCGGCGCCATCCCTGTTGTACTTCCGCAGGTTAAAACTGAATTTTAGATTTCTGTGAGTCATACATGATTGATCAGATGTTCCCAATAACCTATGCCCCTTCAGGTCTGAATGTTCTGATGAATATTCCATATGAGATTCAGTGGGGGGAGAGGAGTTTTGAATAGATGGATCCCTCACACAAGAAGTTGTGAATAAACATGACTGGTGTTAAATCAAACACATCGAACATTACTATTGTGAGAATTCTGTATGTGTATTATATGCCTTTCCCACCAAAGTGTTTCTGTTTTTATGTGATCTCAAGAAGTTATGTATGAAAACATTGGACACTGTGTCTTGGATATTTATGCTCTGTCTTTTGGTGTGTATGTCCTTTAAAATTTAAAAAATATCTACCTTCTGATTTTTTTGCACTGAATCCTTCAAAAACCTAAAACATATTTAGTGTTTTTTGTAATTTGACAGTTTCAAAATCACAATCTGTGATTACTTACCAGATTTTACAATGCATTCCTATGGGAAGAAGTTTAGAGTAGAGACAGCAAAGGGTAATTTGACCCACACTCATTTAGCTAATTTCATTGATAAAATAATCCTCCTTCAGGTTACTGTCAAATCATTCAACTTGCATATACAAATAATACCTGAAAACATTGATATACTTGTGCTCTTCCAGTTAATGTAACTATTAAAGTAGTTCAACTTTTAGAATTTTGGGGGTTTACCTTCAGTTAAGGAAACAGTTCAAATTTCCATTGATGTTAAATTTCAGCCTGAAAAATGGAGGAAGGTAGAATCATGGGATGTTCTGAAATCGCTCCCATTGGCACAATTCTGTCTTGATTACAAATTGCTGCTAAATTGGTAAAAGGCTGATATGTCATTTATATACCAACTGAATAGGAACATTATAAAAAACAACAAGTGATATGTGAACACCATTTCAACAGAGAGATGAACACTTCCCATGAAAAGGTCAAATAAAAAAATAGAACGCTGATCTTAGATGTAAAAAACAGAAATACAGACAGAAGAAACATTTGAAGTGATCAGAAAACATCTGAAGATTTCATTGTATGGAGAAGGTCAAAGGACAAGTGAGTGATTGTCCAATTGTCTAGCAGATCAGCTGATTCATGTAATCATCACATGTTCCTGTGTGTGTGTGTCCGCTCCAGCAGCTCCTGTGTGTTATTTCAGTTTCAGCCATGCTGCCATGATCAAAAAGCATGCAGGGCAGTGTGCCTTGAGGCACCCTGAGAACCTGTTGGTATTGTTATCTATATGATGTGCTATATGTCCACATCCTGGAATTGGCATTAACATGGACGTTACAGAACTGCATGTTTCTCTATCTCCTTGTCTTCCGCACCCCAGCCACTTAATTGACAATCTTTGTCTTTTCCCTGAGCTTTGAGCGACGACGTTTCGGTGAGAATGGAGGGAGGTGGCATAAATTGAAGTCACGTCGGCCTTTCCCGGCCCCTGCGGCTGGCGCGTGCGTCTGTGATGGAGGGCGCTCTGAGTCATTTCCCGGCAACAGCCATAAAAATGCAGGGATATACAAGGTCCACCAACAAAATTTGCTGTTGCCATAGCAACGGCAAATTTGAGCAAGTGGATCTTGAGAACATAAATCTCGTTTTCACTGTGGTCAGCCCATCCCATCTTGTAACAGAGATGCTTTTATTCCTGATAGAGGAAAAAGCACACTCAAGCTATCCAGATCATGTTGATGTTTCTGCAGCTATCTGTCTCGGAAATGAGAGCATCAGCGTCTTTATACTGTAAAAGTCACACCTCTGTATGCATACTACTATTTTCTAATGTATCCTATTTGAAAAGATATTGCATATGTGATGGTGAAGCATAAACTGAATGTCTATGTATATTAAAATCTTAACCAGATTTTTAAAAAATGATATTTGAATCTGTCAAAACGGATAGATTCAAACAAATACACCGAGATATGGCATTTCAACATTTTCTGACTTATATCATGATTGATACAGACCAAAAAGATCGATGAAATTAAAGTTGGGATGGACTTCAATCATCCCACTGGTTAGAAATGATGCTAACGCTGCTCACTGCCTGCTGGGTGAGCCAATAAGTCACATGTTTTCTCACATGGTCACTGCAGAAAACAATTTATAAGGTGATAATGTAGATTTAACTTGCTCTAGTGTTACCCCAGTGCACAGAAACAGATCAATCATCCTTCTTTGACAAGTCAGGCAACGACAAAACAAACAGCAACACTGCCAAAAATAATCTCATAGCACATTGTTTTCCATAGTTTCTGCCTTCACAGCATCTTCAAAGTGATAGCATATCAGTGTTATATCCCACCTTGTTTGCAATTCCACAAGTGTCCTAAATGTTCTCTATCAACGGTTTAAATTGTTATGCTAGCATTTAAGTGCTGGACCAGTAAAAGTCTGATCAGTAAAAAAATTCACAACTAATTTTTTAACAGAAATTCAGAGTATCCTGATATTTTGGGTAATTTTCATAAATAAATATATATATATATAAATAAATATTCTACGGTGTATGGTACTATGTGACCAATCAGTGAATTCCACTTCAGAGATGTGATTTTCCAAATGCATATGTTAAAGAAAAGCCTGCAAGCAAACTTTTAAAGTCTACAAAAAACTTTTCACCATTCAAAAAAGCAGAGTGTTATTTCCTATAGGTTTATAGGGAACATTATGTCACATAATCCACTGCTCCTACAGTTTAAGATGATATTCATCTGTAATCTGTAGCAGGGGAAATGGCCTTTAACTGCTGGACTACTGACTCAGCGTGGGAGTCGTGGAATGGGCCGCCTGTTTAACTCGTGATTCCTGATTTTCTTTGCTTCCACTGAATTCCATGTGCAGCAGCTCAGGTCCTGCTATTGCCAAGTCCCCTCTTTTACTCTGAGATTACGCTCTGTCAATAGGAGTTTTGGCCCCATATGCAGAGCATGTAACCGAATCCTTTCCTCATCTTGTTGTTCGTGCCTTCTCTCAGTGTGAATTCCAACATGTGTTGTTTTCCAGCGACATTTTGGAAAAAAGCAAACTAATTGGTTCTCCGAAACCAGATGTTCTTGAATTTCGGCCCAAAACTGAAAAAGTCCCGTTTTTTTTTTCTCCTGCGTTTTTGTTTTTTTTTGTTCGTTTTTTGTTTGTTTCTTTTCTTTTCTTTTTTTCTAGCTTTTTTTTTTTTTTTTTTGCAGGAAGTTTAAGTGTAATTCGAGCCAAATATTTAAGCATTAATTGCTGAGGTTTGCAAGGCTTCCCGGGAAACAACGGGCTCTCGGTGTGAGCCTGGGTTTAACGGGTGGCTGCGAGGCGCACTTCTGCGGCACCAGGACGCAGGAATGACACGTCCCCGTTCCAATGCGGCGCAACGTTTAAAGGAGTGAAAATGGACCCGTTAACTTTAACAGCGGGGTAGGAAGAGAGAAAAAAAAAGCGTCTGGCAAACAGTCGATATTTTTTTTTTTAAAAAACATGCAAAGGGAGACAAGCTTGGGGCCTTCCAGAGTCAGGAAAAAGACTTCGGAGAGCTGCAGACAGGACATGGGTATGGCATTTGTATTTCCCCCCCCCAGCCCATTGATTTGTATATGAAAACATAGCGCTTTTCTCCCCCCTTCTGGGCTTCTGCTTGTGAGTGATCAGCTGATGAAGAGACTAGCAGCACGCCGCTATGCTGGTTTGCTAATTCTCTCCCCCACAGCTGCAGCCGATCCCGATAGCCAGCCCGCACACCACGGCCAGGTAAATATCCTCCTCCGTGTCCTTCTCTCTCCACTCGGGCTCGGGATTCAGCCAGGGTACATCGCATGGGAAGCGAGGAAGAGATGGATAAAAAAAAAAAATTGTGTGTGTGTGCGCCAGTGCGCGCGCGCCTGGGAAAGAGAGCTGGCGTCTCAGCTGAGTTTATTTCTGTGCGCGCGCCTGCGATCGCGCGTGTGCGTGTGTGTATGTAAGGGCAAGGAGAGAGGGAGTGTGTAGGTGTGTAACAGATGAGAGAGGAATCTTTGCCAGATTAGTCAGGGAAGAGGCAGACTTGTTAGGAAGATGGCACACGCATGGAGCGTCACATGGACACTAACACCCTTCAGCTCGTGCACGCACACTCAATCAGGCGGCTCTCTGCTGGCTTGCACATCTTTGAGGATTACCCCCCCTCTCTATCCCTCCAGTCCTTTCTGCTGGAACGATTGCGGCCCCCTTAGAGAGAGAAAGTAGCGGGGCTTTCAAAGCCCCGCATGAGCCGAAAGATGATGGGCAGGATTTCTATTGTTGTCGCTCCTGTGTGCTTGTGTTGTGTCTTCTTACTCAGTTGTCTGCCGTATGTCTCTAGATTTGGACGTGCAGGCGTTGCGCCTGTTACTGTCTCGCCATTAGTCGCATTGTTTGTTGGGGAAGGGGAGGGGGGGGGGGGGGTTGTTATTGTTGTTCCTGCAACAATTCTGCACGTTCCTGCTCCGATTACATCTCAAAGTCGCCCCATCTGTCTCTAAGAAACATGTTTGTTTTTTTAATCGCACGCTCTTTATTATGATTTGAAAGATGGTGTGAGCCCCCTGCGTGATCCACTACGATAGATGCATCAGTATTCTGTTTGGATTGGACTGCAAGCCTTCTCAATTTCTTCCCCCCTCTCTCCAGCTGGGCTGCTGCTGCTGCTGCAAGAGCTGCTTTTGCTGCAAGCATCCTCATGTTTCTGGCCTCTAATTGCTTTTGTGGAAAACACAGCGGTTGCTGCAGATATTAGAAAATGCAGCTTGGAATCGGCTGAAAATAGCTCCTCCTCAAACATCACAAACCTAAATTCATTTTCAGTAATCTTTAGTGCATTAACGATAAAACCAGAGTAGCCTAAATGATTATTAATATTATTTATTGCATTTGAGTCATTTTTTGTGTTCTGTGAGTCACCATCCGTGGTCCGTTTAAGAAAGATCAGGATTATCTTTGTGATCATCTGTAATGAAAACCTACAGACAAAATAATCCATCCTAAATTTTCAGAGACATTTGGGTTACACCAGTACACATGAAATCGTGGGACAGTAATGAATACATCAAACCCTGTCATTTTAATACGTAATTTGGCCCTTTTACATTATACATGCTTGAACTAATTACATGGAGGCTGCAATGCGATCATGTCAGGCTTTAAGATTTGAATTCTGTAAATATCAGGTTTTTGTCTTTTAGAAATATATATATATATATCATATACCTAGTGAATGTGGTTACATAAAAAATCAAACAAACCTGAATCTCTCATTAAATAAATATTTTCCTTTTTTTGTTTGCACTGTTTCAGTCCTTATAAATATAAAAAATGAACTAAATATGACAAGAATAAATTCTCTGTGGTTACAAAGCACAAACTGGATGTTTTTTTTTTTTTAACTATACAGTGTTTTATCCACCTTACTCAATCCACGTCTCTTTGCGTCTGCTAGATGTTTCCTAATCACCCCCCCCGTTCTCTGTATCTAGCCTGTGGCACAAGAGAACGGCTCCCTGGAGGACATGGAAGAGGACATCAGTTTGAAGAAGCGTAAAGGTGAACATCATGGTGAGAAAGAGCTGCAGGCAGGCCCGGAAACTGGCGAAAAGGTCAAAAGGAAGCGAGGGCGCCCTCCGGCTGAGAAGCTGCCTCCAAATCCTCCTGAACTCACCAGAACCCTGAACACGCTGGTGGATATGGTCATCAACTACAAGGACGGGTGAGGGGTTGGAGAGTCTTTGTGATTTATTGTTTTTTTACAGTACCTGGAAATATCTGGGCACTGACAAAGTTCACACCACTTTAGCTGTCAACTTAAGCACATTTACGTTACACTTCTGTAAAGCATTTGGACTTGAAGTGCAGACTCCGTGTTTATAGGAGAGCATTTACAGCATCCACACAAAAGGAAAATTATACTATTATTGGTTTTAAAGAATCTTCTTTGAAATGCTGTACAGACGTACTTAACTGTCAGGGAGTCTGACTGTCTTTAGCTTTGTCCTCTGTTAGTAAAAGAAGATTAATTTGGCTTCTTTTACTAATTTGGTTTCCAAGGTAATGTGCCCAAATAATTTTATCTATCTATCTTTGTTATTGTAAATTATACCAGAAGTTTTAGAAGTGTGGGGATCATGAGCTGGTTAAAGGTCTCTCCATACATGTTTCCTTCTCTAGTACCAGTTTAGAGTTCATCTCAGTCTTTTAAGATACTATTTGGAAAAATCTCATTTCAACTTTCTATTCAGAAGGCATATGAATGGCTTCCCTTTTGTTGTGAATCCTTTGAAGTCTTCCTTTCTTTTTCAAGTCTTCAGACTTAGAGAATAATTTCTCCACCTCCTCAAAATGTCCTTCATTAGGCTTGAAGTAGAAAAGGATGTTTTCTTTACAAGAAGAATGGTTTTGTGATTATCCACCTTTGTTATCTTCTATAGATGTCCTACCTTTTTATGTTGCCCAACACACTGGCACATCTGTTTTTCGTTTTTTTCTCAGAATGAACCAGATCGGGGATTCAGTCTCTGATGTCCTGGCTATCTGTCGGATGTTTTGTACAGCCTAAGAAATGGCATGTTGCAGTTGTACTGAGAGCCCCTTTAACTTAAATCTGCCTCATTGCAGAACTTTCAAAACGTTTGTAATTCATTCCAGGACTTTTAACATCTTAGTTTACACATTAATAACTTACGGACCTTTTGAGTAATTTTCACAGAAAAAATGTTTTACCTATTAAAAAGACTGCGATTATTAAAGTGTTTAACCCAATTTAAATGGGAGTACTCTCAGTTTAAGTTTAAGTAACTGTAACTTCAGTGGGAAATAAAACAGAAAAAAAACGTATCATACATTTTACTAGTTTTAACAGAAATAGCAACATAATCTTCTTATGGTTAGATTTATGAGGAAGTTTGTTATTGATTAGAATCTACATATTTGACACACGTAGTTTTTGATATGTGCCATTAATCAGAGTATGATTTAAGCAATATATTTTAAGCAGTATTGCACGATCAGTGTGGTCAATCTGTGTAATCAAACTCAAACTCTGGCACCTTTGTGAAAAGAAGAATTCAGTCTGATGAGGATTTTTTTTTCATGCAACCACAAGGAAAAAACCTCAGTATAGAACACATTTTGAGGCACAGCCGTGGTCTATAAATGTCAGCCACCTCCTGGCACTGAACTACGTCTTGATAAAAGAAGATTCAGTGAAAACTAAAAATCTGCTTGCAGGTTGGGACGACAGATCAGTAAAGGCTTTGTGCAGCTTCCCTCTAAGAAGGAAGTACCTGAGTATTACGAGCTCATCCGAAAACCCGTCGACTTCAGGAGGATCAGGGTAGGGGTCACCAAAACTCCCACTTCTTTTTTCTTTTTTTTTACATATGACATCTGCAGAACATAAAAAGATACGTACTGGTGGCATACATATCTTTCACTTCCTTCTCCTATTAACTTCTCCCCTTATTTTCTCTAGTCTACTCAGACATCTGCTCTCCACCTCTGGCAGAATCTTAATGTTCTAACTGTTTATTGTAAATTGCCATCTAAAATGTACTTAATTCTCTTGTGTCTTTGTCAGTCCTTTTGTATAAAAAGCTTCTGTTAGATGCATAAACGTAAAATGTAAATAAGAAGAAAAAAAGGGCACGGGGAAGCATAGCCCATGACAGAAAGTGAAGCTCAGTGACATGAGACCACAGCTTCTAAAGTTATTCCATCTAACATCTGGACAGCCCTTTATCAGGCAAGACCCTTAATTTAAAGCTCAATGCAAGTTAATACCTTGGATGCATTTCTATGAGTGTTTAAAAATGCATAAGATAATGCAAAAATCAGGCTATTGACAATGGAAAAGTAGAACTAAAGATCATCTATATGTGGCTTGAAAATACCCCAAGATCCTGTCTATTTGATACACAAAACCTAGAGATTTTACCATGACTTTGAAGGTCACATGATTATATTGTCTTAGTCCCATAGCAGCACTACATGGCTACTTATATATCAACTGAAAATGAGAATTTCTCAGCGGTGTCAAAAACCTGCACAGAGGTCTCAGTTGTTCTAGACACCAATCTTAACTGTGATGTACGAGATTTGGACTGTGGAGTGTGTTAGCTGCTTCCCCCTCCCATCATCTCTTAATGCTTTTAAACAGGATCTGTTCAAGGAATAGAGTTAAATTCCCAGAGCCCCTGAACAAAACATACATGACTCACTTCCTCTACATATTGAAGCAGTTTATTGCTGCCAAAAGAAGGGGAAACTCAGATTGTTTTTAGCATTTTGCTCTGCCTCTGTAAAAACTGACTGTGTTTAGGGCAAAAACTTTTCCTCTCAGATTTATTCAGTAATGTCTATCATGTTAGTTTATTTTTCTTGAAATTAATCTTTTGATGGGTCAGTTTATATTTTTTAATTCTCTGCTTCACAGGAGCGTGTGCGAAATCACAAGTACAGAAGTGTTGGGGACTTGGAAAAGGATATTTTCCTTCTGTGTCACAATGCTCAGACCTACAACCTAGAGGGATCTCAGGTAAACCCCCTTCGGTCCATTGCAGGTGACAGAATTGTCTTATAGTGGATGTAAAGGCATCATGAAAAACTTTGTGTGGGTTTACTGCTGCAGATCTATGAGGATTCAATCGTCATCAAGTCTGTCTTTGAGAGTGCAAGACAGAGAATCGTCACTGACGAGGAGCGGAAAGAGACGGTTAGCACCAGTCACAGCAATAATGGCGGAGGAGCTGAAGATCAATTTGTTCCATCAACAGGTGAGAGCTATTGCTTATAAAACCGAAAGTGAAAAGGAGATGAGAATACGCCTTTTCTTTGGCTTTCTGGTTGTTATTGTGATAGCATCTCGAAAATTACAATGCAGTGGTGTGCATCAGACTGATCCAATTTACTTTTCTTTTTTTTTATATTGTCACCAGTGAAACCATTAGCGGTTCAGATAAAAAAGGTGGCTAAGGAGGAGAAACGCAGAAATACCATGACCAAGATGCTTCACAGTGATTTAGACAGCGATGAGGATCCAGAGGATAACACCACAAAAGATGAGGGTTGAGCTGGAGGACCATCTCCTTTTTGTATTCTTGTTCATGTCTCACTTTGCCACATCCCTTTACATTTCTTTCTTTTTTTTCTTTTAATCAAAAGAAAGGTCTATGAAAACAAAAGTGGAAGGACCACTCAAAAAAAGAAAAAGAGTCACTGGCCAAACGGTGCTTTTACCTAAAAATGACTCACCTTTCAAAAAACATGTTGCTGCACAAAGTGCTGTTCTTTCATTCAGCTGGTCTTTAAACATTTTTATCTGCTTTGGTTCCTGTGATTGCTTCTGCAGATATTATGTAAAACACCTCTCTCATGACTGTTTTAAACGAGTATCTTTGATTGTATGAAATGCCTTCATTTGTCCTTGGAGCATGTAATTTATCTGGCTCTCTGAGAAGAGCAGAAGTTGATGAGAAAGTTGATGTGTTCAGGACTACAGAATTGAAGCACAGAAAAGTCTTTTTAAAGAAACCACGAGAAAACTTAACAATGTACATATGTTTAAAATGAGTGGTTTTAGAGATGATGCATCTTTGATTGGGGTGGGGGGGTGCAAGTAATACGTTGAAGTGATTTTACAAACACAATTTCGCATTTTATCTGTTTCCGATTCTCGATGGAATCATTTTATGGTCATACCAAGGATGCTCAAGTTGAACATTTATATCTCTTGTGCTTCAGTATATCAACATATTGTATAGTTTGTGTGAAAAGAAACTTTTCATTTACTCTCCTAACTCTTGGGGAGGATGGAAGACATCATTGTTAAGACAATCCCTCTAAACATGTATCACTTGCAAAATAAATTTTACCATAAAGTCCTCAGATTGTTGATTATTGCTGTCAGATCATGAATTGTATTACATGTCTAACATTGCTGTTTATAATTAAAGTTGAAGGTTAACTTTTCTCACAGATTTTTTTTCACTTTCATAATTGCATCAGTGCTGTATGGGTGCTGTATTTTTCAGAATCTGTCAATAGGTGGTGCAAGAGAATCGTTTGGCAGCATCCGTGATGGGTTTAGTGTTTCTAAACTATTTAAAGTAATTGTATCACTTTTCATTAACCTGTCAGCCTGTCTTGCTTTATTTGTAATCCCAGTGATTCATGTTCAGTTGCAGATGAGTGTAAATGCTGAGCTGCAGCCATTATTTTAACACATAATGTTTTTAAAAAATGAAGTTGTGCAACCATACATTGAATGGTTCCAATCAAAAAGTACACAGGTCGTTAAATGTTACTGAATCAGAATCAAAGGCACAGTTTTCTCACTGTATGATTTTTGTTATTTGTCTCTAATTAGATATTTGTGTTACCAACTGTTGATCCTCCAAAGATGTTGAATGTTTGTTTTGGGAAATTAATTCAAACTTCAACGTGGATGTATGCATTTTACAAAAGACCCATGCATTAACTATCTACCAGCTTTTATATCATACTCAAGAAGCAAAATGTATGCATTTGATGTTTGAATTTTGATGATCGATTTTCTCATGCATATAAATCCTTTCTCACCAGCCTGCCTGCTTCTCACCCCAGATCACAGGACAGGCAATCTTTGTCAGTTTTGCAACCAATCCATCTGCACCCAATCCCCTAAAATACTTTTTAAGGGATTTTCCTCAATTTTGAAATGCAAAATGTTTCAAATCTCATCCCGATTTATATGGAAAAAAACGGTATGTGGACAAAATATGGTTTGGCTAATGACACAGAGATACAGTACATGCAGCTCAGCAAAATGGGAACATAAGCAGAGCCTCCCCCAGTTATCCATCCATTTAATAAGAACATTTACATGTCAGAGAAGATTTCATTCTGGAGGAATATGATCAAGTGTCTATGTGGTGGAAAATAAAAGGAGGGGTGTGACGGCATGACCACGTGATGCCTATTCAACCAAATACCTGCTTGTAATGAGACACCGAGCCCAACATGTGTCATATACGAGTCAGGTTTCGTTTTTTCTCTTTTCATCTTTTAAAGCACATCATCCAAGGAAAAGTGATGGTAATATAAAATATACATCATCCCCTCCAATCAAATGTGCATCTCGCCTTTCGCAGAATGTGACATGGAAATCTAAATTCATCTGTGTACAGCACTGAAATATGTTCCTTGACATCTGATCACACAAGTGTCAGGTGTATGGTTTCTGACAGATGTTTAGAGATTTATATAATGTCCTTGGTGTGGAGGAGCTAAAAGCTGTGCAGCCACACACTGAACAGCTCTGGAAAACAAAACAGCACGCCGTGTTGAGCGCCTCACATAAAGCAGCACGCAAACCTAATGGAAGGGCGTCTACAGCTGTATTACTGAAGGTGGAGGCACTAATGGTTTCTGGGGATTAGTGGGTCCAGAAGGTAACTTTAATCTGTTGGGATGACAGTCCATTTTCTCTTTGCCCCCCCAAGACACACGTTTAATAGACAGTTAATGTGGTCCATTTCAGTCTGGGTTTTCACTAATAACCTGAGGTCGATCACATTTCTGTCACTGTCTGTGTTGATGGAAGCGTTGTTAGCATCAACACGGATCATGTCATGCCAGTTTTCATGTTTTCTTTTGCTAGATCTGTGGACCTCCATAGTCCCTTATCTTGATTCTAAAAGTCAGGGACTCAAAGGTTTTGCTTCCTTCTGTTGCCTGTTTCACTAAGATGATAAAAAGCAACTTTATAGTCCGAATTTAAGAGGCATTCTGATTATCCGTTGCTCTGGCCAAGTGTTATAACAGACAAAGATATTGTCCCATCTTGAGGAAATGAACTGAAGACATCAAGTTATCTTATTTCATTTTGTGTTCCCGATCAAAAGGAAAAAAACTCACTTTGAATATTAAAAATATATTTGCACTCAGATGTCGTGAAGGGATGCTAAACTTTTAGCCTAAAAATGATTGTTAAGAACAACCATTTCAAGCGATCAGTGCAATCAGTCTTTTGCAGATCTCAGCTTGGTTGCCCCTCAGTCACCAAATATACTCTGCCAACTCTCTCAGTTTTAATGGTGCGTCTGTCAGCCACATGTCTCAGGTCCTGAGGCCTCTTACACGTTTTCCAGTGCTTGTCTTCCATTACATGTATATTTTGGGTTATCGTCCAGTCAGAGAAATGACACAAACATCTAGCTATAAATGCGATCTTTGCACTCCAGCTCTGACAATTTCTTCTTGTCCATCTGTTCTTTGGCTTTTCAGTGATTTGTGATATAGTGTTGAATGCTAAACTTTTCACACTTTAAAGCTCTAAAGTTGTATTATTTTCCAGATGACATTCTTTCGATGACTTATACCCACATTTAAAACATACATTTTTTTTGTATTTTCTTAATGCTCATTGCTTAAATAGGCAACAGTATCTTTTTAATCACCCAAGCTTTTGTCAGACAAGCATTTGGCTGACAACCCTGTAGGGTCATTTCATGCTGTCCATCTGTCCTATAGGGATAGCAAAGAGCACTTAATGGCTCTTCATTAGACTTACTCTGCAGACAATAACTGTCCAATCCCTTGTTGCTCAATTAGTCATGTAATGTCCTTCAGAAGAGTGAGTGCACACTATTATTTAAACTCGTCAACCCCTGTTGACAGAGACCTGCAAAGCAGTCTTTTAAGATTTGTCAACTGTCTATATTCTGGTCACTGATGCCAACTTGACATGTCATATTCAGTTGCTCTCAGGAACACTAGAAATGTCTAATTCCTTTTAGTGCAATTATTCATAGTTGGTTGTTCCCTGCATGAAGAAAGACCCACAACGACACGTTTTTTAAAGACAATCTCAAGTGCATAGAAGAACTGAAGGCAAAAAAAAACGTACATGTTTAAGATTCTGTTTTTTTACCATATATTTCTAACACAGAATCGTTGGCATTTTGCATGGTCTACTAAGGGCATCCCTATGAACTCCCTACACTGTTGGGTATGTGATGAATCTGTACACAAGATGACTCAACATGATCTCAAGATAGAAAAATGGATGGATGGATTTATGTAATGATAGAGAAAGGTTGGTTGAAGAGTAAACAAATGGAAGGAGGACCTTCTGGATCAGTACTTTTTAGTTTTTAATTATTTTCAGATTCTATTTCTTTTTATGTCCCTGCTCACTTTGAAATATACTCTTCAGTGGGTTGTTTCATCAGTTTGCCACTGAAGTCTTTTCTCGGTTTTCCAAATTTGTTTGGAAATATTCTGTAAATCAGTGCAAGAATACATAGGTATGTCTGTAGCATCAAACTACAAATAACATTATTCACATTTTCTTTTACATACATCTCACAAAATAACATTTATTAGCAGGTTGTTACACAGAAATTATCACAATTCTGTTCAAATTCACTGAAACTTGCAAAGTCATGAATGATTTACATCAATGCCTGCTAATCACAAGAGATCCCAAACAACAGGGTATCATTAAGACATAGGCACAAGCACATCATGTCCATTTATCATATCGTAGCAGTAACAGTAAAAAAAACTTTTTCCAATGGTAATGCGACAAAATGAAAATACCCCACTAAGTGTTATTGCACTTAATCATATAAGGGGAGAATTTCCGAGAAAACTGACATTCACAATTACAGTGTTCCAAAATGAGTTTTTACTGTATAGACTTTTCTCTTTTTTGTTGTTTTAAGTGCAATAGTAAATTTCATTATATTAAAAAACAAATGAAGAATAAGTGCACATACCATTTGATTGGGCCTTCATTTAATTGATGAACGTAAATTTCAGAAAACATATCTGTCACTGTGCTACTTTTGTTAATTTTTGCATTGGTTTAAAGTACACATGAGTGAAAGGATACAATAAATGTTTTTGTAATGAAATGGACCACTGCATTGACATTGACCCGTCTCATAAGAGGGTTCCTCCAGGTCTTTATGGTCTCCTCCAAAAGTCTATTATATGTTGCCTTAATTACATAATAAAATATAAATCATGAATAATACATCATATACATTTTGTCCACAAATGTGACTTTGTGTTTAGTTGATGAAGAACCTTGCTTTGTGTGAATGGTGGCATCTTTAAAATGATAAAATTCCCATAGTTCTTCAAATGTTTTTTATTTTCTCTCAGAGCTTTATACCACACGTCCTGCAGTCCCTCTTTTTCTGACTGACACTAATATGGTGTGTTCATTACCAGTTGTAGAAGTTGTTGTGCCCTCTGAGGAACTTAAAACAGGAGCGAACATGTTTGCTTTCCAAATGAGCCAGCTCCTTTGCGTGGATGTCACAACTGTCAGCGTATTGCCACCTGCCCGAGGCACTGGAGTGAGGTCTGGAATCTGAGTGGGCTAATTCCCATCGCGCTGACACGCACCTTAGCCTCAACAATCCTGCCACATTAATATCACAAATGGTTACATTTTATAATTTGAGAAAAAATTGTCACATAAATAAACTTTTTCTTTTTAAATCACATTTCATATTGATATGTAGTAATATTTTGGATGTTTGTGTTTGTCTTTCCTTATTTTTCTTTTTTTATCCAATATCTTTCAACCTTTCAAGACTTCTACAGCCTCACTTCTTTTTTCTCAGTTTGATTGGGAAACTTGAAAATCTTTGCTGATTGCTTTGACCTTTCAAATGGTTGGCACTTTGAATGCTACCAGACAGCTTGTTTTTTTCCCCAACATTATAAGAAATAAACTCAAAACAATCTGCTTCCTTTGTTTTGTACCGTAAATCAGGTTTGAGGCCAATTTTGTCTTATTTTTGTAAAGGAGTCTTAATTTATGAAAACAATAGAAAGAACTGTGTCAGGTCAATGATTTTTTGTCGGTACAGTGCACAAGCTGGAGTCCAGCATTGCTCTGTACAATTCAAGTCTGTTCTTCTGACGACAGTGTAATAGCTGTTGAGCGATTTCTTTAAACCTCGTGACATGCTGTTTCCATGGTTTCTTGAGAGGTCATCAAAGTGGTTTGACTGTACATTCGGAGGTTTGTGACAGAACAACTTTACACAAAATAGCTTCAGTTGTTCCCAAGCTTTAAATCACATTCTCTCATGACCTGAAGAGAGTTTGATTATCTACTCATTGGGTGTATTTTTCACCCTCCTCAAAGTGCAACAGATGACCCACCAGAGACACGGGTGCCTGTGAAAGTGTCTAAGCTGTGCACAGTCTAGTTAAATCTGAGACACATTTTCCAGGTCTTCCAAGATCAAATCCTGTTTGTTTACATCTTTTCTATCAGCGAAAGAGTCACCCTCCTTTCCATTTCCTATTCGCACCGATCCCACTCTTGAGCCTGATCTGCTGTGGTTGGCGCGCTGAACTGGGAGCACAGCGTTTCCTCTGATCCGATGGGAGATGGTCCTCTGGCGCACGATGTCGACGGAGCACAGCTGGAATTTGAAAGCCGCCTGAAAGCCTCTGCGGAAGTTCTCATTGAAGAAGCCATAGATAATGGGGTTGACGCTGCTGTTGAAGAAGGCTAACCAGTGAGCTAAGGGATACACGTAAATATTAATGATGCGGTATTGGTGCTCTGTCAGGCTGGCGTAGTCGCTCAGCATCATCAGCGTCCACAGAGGTAGCCAAGACAAGATGAATAGCAGAGCGACAACCAGAAGCATCATTATCACGCGCTTTTTCTTCCTTGAGATTGTGTGACGACTATCCACACTTAATTTATTGTTGTCAATTCCCTCTCCAGGTACAGCTCTGCCGCCCCTTGTGGGAGGAAGAGCGGTCTTAAATAGGACAAAGCCAATTCGGGCATACATAATCACAATGAGGCTGAGAGGAGCGAGGTAGATGTTTGCAAAAAGGACGGTGGTGTAGATTTTCCGCATCTCCTGACTGGGCCAGTTCTCACGGCACCAGTAGAAAGGACGGGTGTCGCTCTTGGGGCCAGCGACTATTCGCACAGTCTGCTCCTTTGTGACCTGGAGCATGACCCCTGACGGACACATGATGAAGACAGCCATGACCCATATGATGATGATTATTAGCTTTGAGGTGCCAATGGTTAGCTTCTGCTTGAAAGGGTAGACAATGCAGCGGAACCTGACACGAGAGGGATATCGAAGTAAGTGCATGAGGGCAATCCCATCTTTTTAAGTCAAACACATGCATGCCAAAAATAAGCAGAGTTAACTCCACTCACCTGTCAATAGCTATTGCAACTAGAGTGAACACGGACGCAGAAACAGATATTCCTTGAACCATCCCACTTAGCTTGCATACAATCCTACCGAATGGCCATCCTGCAAAAAACAGAAAAAATCAAATTTGCATCGGTCTGTCCTGATCATTAAAAAAAGCTTCATTTCCTGCACTTTACAAGGTGAGTTTTTATCTCTACCTGTTATGATGTTGTCCACCAGCGTGGTGGGCATGCAAAAGATGCCAACCAGCAGGTCACTGATGGCAAGGTTCAGGATGAATAGATTGGTGACCGTGTGCATGTTTTTGCTGCGCAGCACAATGAAACAGACCACGCCATTGCCCAACATGCAGACAACAAAGATAAGCAGGTAGGACACGGTGAAGACCGTGGCCACGGAGGGTTTGTGGAGGTAGAAATCCACATAGGTGATGTTCTGGTTGGTCAGTGTTGAGGAATTGGAAGGGCTTAGGTCATCCAAGGTGCTGTGGAATGCTGGATTCTCTGTCATGATGATTTCTATATCTAAGAGAAACAGAAATTGAAAGCCAGACTCTTTGATGCATCTTTTGGAAATCCCATTATGTGTTTTCAATGTTTACTTCCCCCAATAAGAGAGCACAACTATATGTATTGTTCTTGTGAGTGTGTTATCATGCAGACCGGAGAGGTAAATCGATTGTTGCCACATTAAATTATATAACATCCCAAAAAATCGATAACTGAGTTTCTGCGAGTCTTGATTCAGTCAAGCACATGTTCTTGCATTAATAACGGACAGACCAATTTGAACATGTCTCACCTACAACAATCAGTCCTGACCTCTTCCTCTCAGTTTCCTCTCCTGCCTCAGTTAGACAATGACCCTTCTGAAATCTCTCTGTATCAAAACTCTGCCATTTATTAAATTCAGTTTGCAATTTTGCAGGACTTTTAATTTGTCGCTGTATACATAATTAAGTGGACGTGTACAATATACTCAAAAAAGTGCTTCAACTGGAATCAAGGCTGAGACCAACCAAAGTGTAAAACCCAGTATTTTGAGAAGATTTAAGGTTTAGGTTCAAGAGGCAGGTGAAATTTACATCTCTGCACTATTTGAGATAAAGTCATCCATACATATTTTGGTGGGTCTTCATCCTCCACAGCTACTGTTTCTAAAAAATTGTCAATTTTTTCTGTCTACATTTTTTTCCAATTAACAGATCAAAAGTAACTCAGCATTGATAAGCTTTCATGATTGTATCTATTTCATGTGATAAATCCAGAACTTGTTTTTCATTCACATATTTCAGATAATTCAGTTCAAGTCTTTTCATTGTCCGACATGACTGCGTTTCTGACAAACAAGGAAAGGACTCATATGTAGTTTAAAACATTCACAACAACCCCTGACAAAAACAGGAACCCAGACAGTGATGCAACTCTTTGTCCAATAATATTGCCCTTGCAATAGCAGCATTAATGTAAACGTGCAGCTGTTTTGAAAAAGAGTTGGGAGATCTTTGAAATAAATATTGATTCATGGAGATATCCATTTGAATAGAGCTTTGAAATGATTCACTCTTGCCCATCATGTGTCCACAAATCTCAGCATGACCAACGGATAACAAAGAGAAAGATCGTCTAAATAACTGGAAAATGATCTGCCTTTACTAACACAAACAAGCCATCCAGGTGTTAGAAAAAGATAAAGGGATAATCTCTACATAAGACAGACAGAAGCTGGTCTCAAAGTTCCCAATGAATTATATGAACCTTCTTACCTTGCGGGGAACTGTATTTTAATCTTACTCCTTTTCTTTTTCCTCCAAGATGTTACATATCCAGATCACAGAAATTCCCCGTGTTAAGAGCAAAGCACCGCATGGTTTCATCTCCTTGTAATATCCCCGGCAACTGCTCTATACTCCTACAAGGCGGAGACTGCTGTAGCATTTATAAACCGAGAGGTGAGAATCACTTGGGAGGGATGTGCCGGGTGGTGTGCAGGCTGACAGAATTGCATGTTCAGAGGTGCTGTGTGAACAGAATGATTTATACATATAGTCTTCTCGACAATATGAGGCAAATGTTGGCCATCTAAACCAACTAAGACACCTGTTTCCTGTTGCATCAATGAGGCAAATGAACACTCAGGGATATCACCACTTGTCTAAGATTGTCTGCCTCTTTAATCACCGTTACTCTGATTAGGTCTTGTATGAGTAGGATCCAAACCTTCTTATTTACATGAGTATAAATATCTAGATTAAAGGTTAAAAAGACTGTGTAGGTCATTACGATATATGCATATTTAATCAAATTTTATGCAGCTTGTTGTACACGTTAGACAAAAAGTATTTCCTATATGAAGGAATGTATCTAAAAGAGGAAGAATTAATATTTCTGAAAAGTCAACATTTATAATAATGAGAATGAGATGGGAATGTGAAGTTACTTGAAAAAAAAACTTTCCCCAAAAATTACTCAATAGGTATTATTTAAAAAATGTTTTTATTCTTTTGATTCAACATTTTTGATTTTGGGACCTATAGCTCTAAATTTTTAAAAAAAGTTATATTTGTATGCGAGACAAATTCAAACAATTTCATTCGTTTGATATATTACATGAAGACTGTCAGATTGAGCACATATAGATTAGCTTTATTCACTTGGACACAATTAATAAGTGATCTGTGACTGTTTTAACTCACAAGAAACATTAAAAAGAAAAAAAAAACAATGCCAACATGGATAACTTGAACCATCTGCAATTCCTGGAGGAAGAATGCACTAAAACTGAGACAATGAGCACAATCTGGACATGCAGTCAATGCAGGTCTGTGAACCTTGGAGACCATGTCATGAGAGAGATGCACAATGTGAACAGTCAGGTTATTAAGAGCATTAAAGCTCTAAAGTTAAGAGGCTGCTGAGTAAATTGTAGGGTTTAATGTGTGTAGAATGCTCACAGCACTTGTTAAAAGATTTTTTAAAGTCTTTTTAACTGATTAAATTAATGTATTGTAACATGGACACACACACATATATATATATGAATGCACATATATTACTTTGACCCCGGGAAGGAGCAGGAGGTAGTTATTACTTCTTTTCATCTTGCCAGAGAAGAGAGTAGTCGCTCATAATAATGAGCCACTTTAATTTCATTAGCACAGACTTGAGTCCTGTGATCACGGAAACTATGCAGCTTTTCTCTCTTATCTTTGCTGTGTGACTAAGCAATGACCACAAGTGGTGATTCTAAATTAAACTGGCGCCATTAGCCTTTTTGCTTAGCCCATAGTATGAAATAGAAGTAGCTCTTATGTTTGTTTATAGTATTGCGCTGCTTAAAACTTGGAAAATTACAGCTTTTCTTGATCATTTTAAACAAAAGAATCATGGACAGTGATCCTGCCTTAGCTAACTTGTAAAGCTGCTCAAGAGATGTCTGTTGAATCCTTTGAAGAAAAACCATAAGGCATCAAGACTTAATCTGAATCCTGCAAAGTAGCATGTGGACATCACGTGCACATCAATCTGCCCACATACATACGTGTATACATACATATACACACACACATACACACATCTCGGTTCAGACTCCATTTCCAAATCCATCTAAAACTGTCCTAGTGATTCAATAAAAAACACAAAACATCTTTAGAAAAATCACTTGGACTCTTTATTGTCGTCACTTAAAATACTACTTTATAGAACAACACTGACACTTTGTTCCTTCAGAATAACCTGTGGTCATTTAAACCCATAAGACGAGTGTATAAAATTGGTTTCAGCATTTCAGCAAAAGTATAACAATTATCTGAACAGAAAGAGCTATAAAGGTTCTACACATTCCACAGAAAGTGGAAGACAACATGAGTGTCTTTAACAGTCTTCTGCCTCACATTTTGACAAGTGTGACGCATGGATCAAAGCCCTGTGTATGACAATACAGAAAGAAGACTGATGGTGCATCTCCTTGTTGTCAAGGCATTTAAAAAGACAGCGGTATTACACATTTGTTAAAAGATATGACATTTATAGAATTGATCTACTCATTTCTCTGATGTTTCAAATTAAAGATTTTTTACTTCACTGCCAAATGGAATGGGTATACTGTGTTGTCATTAGTGCATTATAAATATGTCCACAGACCATTTACCTTTCACATTTTAAAACACAGAAAATCTTTAACGGTGATATTGGATTTGCTTGATTGAAAATATATAAAGTTACAGAATTTTATAAGGAGAAGTACTTCAAGCTTCCACTTCAAATTGCCAGATGCTGGAAAAACACAAATTCTTAGATACAATTAATCTTAAACATGCTTAAAAGATTTAATTGTTTGTCTGTTAAGAGAGTCACATTAAAAACTTTTCGTCCCAACTTTAAAATTTAAAACATCAAAAAATAATATATTTGACAGATTAAAGAATGCCATGTTAAGTTGTTGAATGGAAAACAAAAGCATTAACTTCTGGTCAAACAAATGCTCTTACTTGTTTCAATATTCACAAAAATACAATATTTTAAGTGTCATAAAAAACAAAACAAAAGTGAAAGGACGAGTTTAGAGAAGTTTAAAAAAAAGTGAAAAATCAGTGTTTGATCTTAGATGATTGCACAATATTGTATAAATGATATCAAGTCTGGCACCTACAGAAGATAAGAGGTAGACCTACATAAATGGTATACATCTAAAATTCCCTAAAACAGGGGATATAGACCACAGAAAGAATTTGTTTCAAATTTCCATTAGTGGTGATGTTAAAGCCATATGTATTTTACTGTGAGTTTAGAAATAATAAATATCGAACAAAGGAAAGGAAAGATAAGGAATAAAAAAATAGAAATTCCAGTTTGTGCTGTTTATATGCCAATGGTGAATAGCTGATAAATAATAATATGCCCATACAGTGTGAAGAACTAATTTAGCCGTGCATAGATGTGTTATGTCAGTCTTCTGTTCAGGGATCGCAGAGGACGACTTTGGAATTCCCTGTGCATACATCTAACTGAAGTACCGCCACTAAAGTTTTATCTCAAGTTTCCAGCAGTTGTGACTTAAACTCTTCCGAAGTAACTACCAAAAACAATAGTAAGAGTAAAAATGTGTTATATACGATGTCATTTATAAATTAAAAAAAGATTAAAAACCTTGAAAACCATCTAATATATACAAGGTGAAATTAATTGTATTGTAAATACAACGCTATCCATTTTTCTACAAACTTCTTCATCATGGACCTATGATGATTGCACAGCTTTTGATTGATGGCTGATCAACCATTGAACACATACTTTACTGAGATACTGATGTCTGATCAAAACTGCACACAAATGGCCTTTTTTCTGTGAGACACCTCACAAATGGAGAATGGCCAAACAGATCATCCATATGCCCTCATTAGAATTTAGTACCAATGTTTATAGACACTCACATCCAGCTATTTGGATTTCAATCACCATGTGGATAATATTGAAAATACCATTAAGTAGCGGCACTGTGGTAGACAATAAGAGGATGGCTATATTTGTAGTGTTGTGATGTAACTTTTTTTTTCACAGTTCAGTTCTGGAGCCCTTCATCCAAAGGAAACTATTAGCTTCCTGGTCTATTCAAATCTGAGATGAACCATGTGTGTATGAACCGCTGTTGAGACTGAAAGAGAGAGAGAGAGACACACACACACACACACATAATGTTTTATCCACTGAAATTCAGACATTACAATTTGATTCTAATGTAAAAATACTTGCGCAGAATGGGGTACTCACTTACAAAGTAGAAGACTCAAAGTAGTGCTCAGCACGGTGAATGGGGGTCAAGGAAAGTCTGCGATGGAGTTCCTGATAGAAAAGGAGACAGAAAATGTTTTTAATTAATCACAAAGGCATCATAAAATCCAAAAAGAGGACACATTTGACAAAAAGATAATAGGAAAGCAGGCACTGCAATGCTTCATTTAGCAAATTAAACTTTAAAAAGCTTGTCAGAAAAAAAAAAAAAGAAAAAAAGAGAGAGAAGCTGGTAACAGTTCTAGCCAGAAGATTGGAATTAGTATGAGAGGGTCAGTATGACAGGGCTCATGGGAGCAGAAAGCTTTGAGAAGCAAAGGTCCGAGCGAAGAAAACCCTGGCTAGTACTCACTATCCAAAGATTTATCCCCCAACATGGGCTCCTGTTCCATCATATCCATTGAGATTTTTATAGTGGGGACATTTTCATGGTAAGGGTAGTCAGACTGTGGGATGATGGAGGAACAACATTAACACTCACAGATAGTTTGCTTTGAGGTGAGGATCTACTGGAGGGTGCACAGGAGATCACATGTACAACATAAAAAGGTGGTGTGTATTTTCTCTTCGCATAAAAAAAAGGTTGTTTACTTACAAAGTCCATTTCACTGTCAATGCTCCCCTTCTTCTTATTTTTCTTTTTCTTCTCATCCTCTTTCTTCTTCTTATCTTTCTCTGGAATGACGTCGTCCAAGTAGCTGAGGTCATGCTGGGAGAACAAGTAATCCATGGCCTTTCGGACTGCAACCAACGCCAAAATCTATGAACGGAGACGTGGTTAAATCATCAGCTCAGCTCCATTTGCTATCAGCTGTATATCAGCAGCGTCTCACCATGACGGGGAAAATGATGGCAGCCACGGTCGACTTGAGAATCCAGAGGAGGGCCAAACACAAAGCCTGGATGAAGGTGAAGAGGTGGATCCGTCTCTGGGGGACGTGCCGCAGGTAGATCAGGTCCGGCTGGTGCTTGGCAGGCATGAGGAGCAGCTGCAGGCGATCCATGAACTGACAAAAGCAAACGCAAAAGGTGGAGAAAGTGCGGGCTCAGTATACATAATTCAAAGTTTCAAAGAGAGTGGGAGACGTATGTAAGTTATATTTGTGAAAGCTGTTTTTTTTAGCACCAAGTTAAGTCTACAGACATACAAAAATGTTATTTTTGTAAATGTCTACACAGATACATACAAAATACTATAAATCACTTATGTGATGTGAATACATATGCAATAGGCTGTTTGACTGTGCTCAATAAAACATTAATCAAGGACACTGGCCACCTCTTTCAGTGGAGTGGACCTACTCACCTGGACACCATTGAGGGATGCCACACCCATATAGAGGAATACACCGTATAGCACAGGCATAGGTATAAACTGCAGGGAAGAGAACACAATAAAAAGGCATTTACATCAAGTGTGACTGCCTGCAGGTGGAAAAAAATTGAAGCAGACAAACTTTTTAAGTTACTTTAATTTGAGCATCTAATGCTTGTAAATAAGTGTTTGTATTTCTGGAATCGCTGTGCTGTTGAAATAAGCTTTTCTAGGAAGGGTCATATCTCTGGTTTTATGCATAGACATGTACATGTGACATATATATAAGTTACATTGTTTTTTTGCTAAGTCGTCTACTTTACAACAACAAAACAGGTTACTTTAAAAGCAGCAGGTAAAATACACTGTAGTCAGACAATAAAATTGCAAGACACTTTAGGTGGAAATATTTTAACCAAATGATGGTGAGGTGTGAAATAGTCATTTACAGTAGAATCTGGAACATTAAATGATGATGGGGTGTGAAGGACATTTCCAGGTCAGTAAGTACATTATAGAAAATGCCCACAGGGGGGAGCAGCAACTCCAGCAACCTCCAATAAGTTGCTCCACTTTCTTTTGTGTGGCAGCTTAATGAGGGAATGGAAACTCATGAAAGCACTCGGCTGCAATTAGAGCTTACGGCCAAGATGTACATGCTTATTTCACATTGAATTACTTCAGCTACAGGAGCATCTAATCCAATGGATAAAAGACTTTAAATTACGTCAAATTTTAGAGAGTTGACAGGAGTTTGTCCTAAAAGAGGCAGACAGTAATCCATTTTCGTGGAAGAATTAAGATGTTGGAGCTTTACCTTGAGGATGGGAGCCATGAAGACAGAGAGTCCCGTCAGGAGGAACACAAAGATACCCGTGACTCTTTGTTCCCTGAAATAGTGGAAAAATACTACTTAAATAAGCAGATCAGGTCTCAACCCAGTGTACAAGATGAAATATCATACGTCAAATGTGTATCTTGGTGATATAGTGAAGCTATGAGGCCTAACTTCCAGTTCTTTATTCTGATGGAAAGAAGTGTACAAAAAGTGTCTGAAACAGCATAGAAAATAAAACAAATGAAGGAAAGAAAACAGTCAACAGCGCTAAAAATTCACGTTACCATTATAAATAAGTTTTACAAACTTAAAAAAGTCATTTATTTACATAAATCAACTTCAATATCAGCTTGTGGCATGCAAGTCTTCTGTGTGGGTAACGACTTTCTAAATGAATTCCACCATCTGATGTGCGCAGGACTGTCCGTTAGGCCTGTCAACAATGTGTTCTCTCACCTGACACCTAGAAATTTGGGCTGCTCTCCAGGCGCTGATGTCTTTGTCTCCATTTTTAGAGAATCGATATGGGCGATGGATATGACGGTGGCAGCCACATACCATGGCAGCCCCATGAAAGAGCAGATAATCATCAGGACGGCCACCCAGAACAAGTCCAAGTGATACCCCGCCCCTTTCTGAAGTGAGACAAGAGTAAAAATTTGTAAAAAGAGATGTAAAATTGTTTACTATGTGTATTTAGGTTTTCCTGTTTCTTTCACTGTGTTTGATAAAAGCCTAAAGGAGAGCTGTCTTCTCCCATAGATGCCTCGGTTGTACCTATGCCTATTCTCACTTTACTTAACGATATCACTGTAAAACATTCCAACATAATGCCTAACTATTAACCAAAGAACGAGAATAATGACTGTCGAAATGCTCCAGAGCAGGAATACATCCAAAATTCTATTTATCCAGATATCAAAATTACTAGAAGCAAATTCTCATGAATAAGCTATAATTCTAGAAACAAATTTTAAAGAAAGTCACTAAATTTGAGAACGGAAACAAAAAAGACTTACTTTGTTGAGTGGAAAGTCAACTAATTTTAAGAGGTTTTAAGGCTCCATGGAGACATATAATGGCATTTATGAATTGCTTTCAACAATCTGATGTGGTGTACCAACCTTGAGTTTGTGCTCTTTCCTGTTGACGATCACGGCAGTGATCTGCTGGTCCATAAATATCAGAATAGTAACCAGAAGGGCCGGGACTGCAGCTGCCAGGTACACCCACCAGGGGTTTCCTCCGAAAGGAGGAATAAACCAGCCCCTCTTTGGACTTGTGGGCTTGACAGGGAGAAGAAGAGGATGGTTAGAGAGTCCACCTGCAGATGCGTTATGCCTGACTAACACTAAATAGTTTCTGAATGCACACCAACTAAATGTCAGAAGAAGGCTACAATTTATAGCAAAACATTAAAAAAATGACAGACAATGCTCAGAACACGTCCAGGGATCAAATTTTCTTTTCAACATTACAAAGTATGAGATTACTGGTGCATCATTACATGACAGGAAACAGTGAATTAAATTTTTGTGCTCAAACAAAGCTGGGTCTGTGCAAGCGACTACTGGACCATCTGTTCTCACATCACCTGTAATCGAGTTTTACCCGCTCCTTTGCCAAGGGCTGGGTGTGTGGGTCTGCGAGCTGAGGAACATTTAAGCTTGCCAATCTCCAAGAATGTCAGTGTCATAGTTTCAGGTAATATGTATCTGACTGGACAAACTACAAAGACTGCTTTATGTTGGGATTTAAAAGGATTACAGAGACTTTCTGGCTGAAACATGAATCATTAAGGGTAATATTCTGAAGAAGCTGCACCCAGCTGACCAGTCTCACACACACACATAATAACACTTACAACATACAGTATGTGCAAACTGACCCATTTGCAGTTTTATCTTATTTACCTTGAATTCACTAGGCACAATGAGCTTTGGAGTGTTCACACCAACAAAGGCATCCACGCCACAGAAGAGAAAAATGGTCAAGATGATTGCAAAGTCGCTGATGAGCTTCCTCACCTGGACAGAGGAGACATAAACATCAGGTTTGACGGTGTTGACAAGACGAAATGATAAATTAGCATGCATACAGACCATTAGCATCTACAAAATTTAAACCTCAAATTTGTAAAAAATAAAAATGAAATAGGAAGGAGAGAAAGAGAGAGAAAGAGAGACACATACATTTAAAAGGAACATTTTTTCCGCGAATTTGACCTGAAAGGAGTTGTTCTCTCAGATTTAGCTGAGTTTAATAAAATTTCAGGTGCCTCAAGAGAAGGGGCTACTTAAAGGGCCGAAGTCAGCGGACACAACTCTTATTTACATGAGAATTTTGACTTCCTGCCAGCATCAGTAAATCACCCAGTCAGAGGTAGGTCTATGTACCACTGAAAACAGTGCAGAAGTACCTAATGGATCTCTGCTGAAGCTCAAGGAGTTTCCCAATTAAACAGAACAGCCACCCTTTTACTCAGCTGAAAACTGCAATGTAATCGTCTCATTCTTTGTTCACCCCACAAAGACAGATGTATGAGTGTGAGAGTGTATGTGGTGGTGTTGGTGGGAAAATGGATATGGGAAGCTGTTTCACTCACTGTTGTGGGGAAGAATCGGCTCGTCTTGAACTTCTTCAGACCCATGGAACAGGCGTAGGTTCCAAAGAATAAGATGAAGGACATCAGGGTGATGTCAGGCACGTATTCACAGGCGTCTCCCATCAGAATTCCTCCAAACTTTACACACTGATCTCTTGTGAGCGACGTCCCCGTGAAATTCTCTGGCTGGAGGAATTAGGAGAAAGGAGCTATTGGCTTGAATTCACTCAATTAGATAAAAGCTTTGTAAAAAAAAAAAAAATGTATTTGAATTTTTTTCTACTAAGAAAAAACAAGGACATTACAAACCAGATCAGTACTGTTTGTCCAGGCAGAAATATCAGGTTCTGTCAAGTTGCCTTGCAAAGAGAAACAATAATATCTAATCACCATTAGAATGTATCTAACTTGTATCATCACACAGACAGAAATACTGCAACGTCATTTACAACACATACTGATAGGGTGGGTTACAAAGTGAACAGAAGTCTATACGGGATTGAAAATACTTTTATAAAATCTCATATCATCTCCAATCACAGTCCAACATGTTATAGTAATGTCCTACAAACTGGGCAACACCAAAAAGGACTGATAAGCTACAAATGTACGTGATCCTTACTACTGAGGTAGTTGCCTGTAAAAAATAAACTGGTTGGAACAAATTGGTGTCCAGTTGTGGCTAGATCTGATAACCTACGGCAGCAAAAGTGAAACTAACTTACCGAAACTGCAATGGCAGTCATACTGAGTAATCAGATTGCCATCAAATTGGGTGTTGATCGGGTTGTGTTTGGCCAGCTTTATCATCTTTTTGAAGGCGTCGTAGATGAAGATGAAACTGATGAGCGCCGAGAAGCCCTCCTCTGTGAAGCGTGTGAAATACTGCACCAGGAAGCTGGCGTCTGTGGCGACCAGCACCAGACAAAATAAAGCCGACCACAGTCCGATCCACAGCCGGAACTCCAGGTAGTCAAAGCCATTATCTCTGAGAAAAAAAGGACACATTTAGCATAACTGTGATCAGAAATATATTAGTACGAACTTAATAGAATGTTTAAAAAAAATAAATCAACAGTTACATCAGCTTCTGTCTCAAATACATATGGAGTGAATAAGAATAAGAAGATTTTATTGTCATTGAACCAGATGATTTTAAGCATGCAATTCAAGTTGATTGAAAAGTGTGATATTGTATGTTAAACAACTGTAGGCAGCCTAGCAGCTGCCAGTAACTCTGCAACCCTCCACCAGAGGACTGGAAACATTTTGGAGACACGAACGCCATAGCCTCCTCCCCCCCAGACTGTAAAATTAAATGAGTGTGAATTATTGATAATGGAACATAATCAGCATAGTGTTGGGTAATGCTAGAAGCTGCTAAATGTCCAACCATGCCAGGGAGATCCCTCATCCATCCCTCTGTACTGCTTACTAAAAACATTTCCATTCAGTGCGAATACATTTGCATTTTCAGGCCTTCAACGGAAGCATATGATGTCAGATTTCTTTCTGTACTTCCCTTAACCCACGCAACTGTAATCTGAACAGTCTGTAGCTCAGATATTTACAGTAAACACAAACAGCTCCAGTGTGATAATGCTAAAGTGAAGAAATAATGCCAAGTGAATGTGAATAATCTGTTTAAATGTCTTATGATTTAAAAGGATGCATAAGAACAGTTTTGTCAAAACAGCTTCTGTCCTTTGGGCAGACAAATAAACCTATACGTATCACCCAGTGTGATTATCTTGTGTGTAATCAGACATTTTCAAGTGAGTGAATGAGTCTGATAAGGAGCTACTTACTTGCTGAAAGTGAAGAGCAGCCTCTCAAATACAAGCACTGGGCCAGTGCTACTGAGAATAGTCAGGGGCTGACCCGCCAGCAGGCAGAACACTGCTCCTGTCAGTGCCGTGCCGAGGAAACTCTCCAACACTCCCTGCAAAAAGAAAACAAACAAAAAAACACTTACACACAAGTCGTAAAGCAATTAATTTAGGATTAAACCAACGGGAGCAAGATGGCAACATGGTGCACATGAGTAATCTATTCAAATCTACGGCTCGGACAACAACTTCTTTCATCATCCGCTCATGCATAAAGAAATTCTGTGTTCTCCACACAGCTGCAGCTCTGGCCCGTCAGGACAGACCGTCAGAACAGGACAGGCTTGTTATGTCTCCATTCATGTTCATTTTTATACTTTCAACATACCCAATGCTGAATGCTAAATGCTCGGGCTGGCATTCAGAGACAAGCATTGAGAAAGGTCAGTTCAGGGCAGGGATTCCCTCTGCTGCTTGAAGAAAAGCATTAGAGGGAAATGTGACCGGGAAGGGGGGTGTTACAGAGAGGAGGTGGGAGTCACCGAACAGCAATGCTTCACATTCAGATTACAGTGTCTTGTAATCTGGATCTGTGGTTATTTACAGCATGGGGCAAATCCCTAAGGCCGGCACTCAGCGGTCTGACCCAAAAAAAGGCCAAAGCAAGAAGCTCAATCATTAGACAACTTTTCACTCACAGTGGCTCCCGGATGAATGCACCAAGCGCCGCATGTCACTGTGCAAAAGCTGGAAACAACTCTCATAAGGAATCAACAGTTGGCTCAACAGATGGATCTAATATGAGCCTCTAAGCTCTAAATTAGCATGGCTTATCAGCTGAAGAGGCCATATTAGTTGAACATGAGGGGGCATGATGGAGCTAAAAAAGAAAACGGGGACACATCAGCTCTCGTGTCATAAAGTGAACTTGCCTGAATGAACCATAACATATCTGTAATGTTACAACAGAAAAAGCACGATACACTAAAGTTTATCAGGGTGAGAGAAAGGCTGCACACATAAATATAAGACTCCCTTTACCTGTTTGTGTAAATGTTCATCTGGATATCTTCACAGCATATGTGATCAACACAAAATTATCAAAATCATTCCAACGATTTGTTCCAAAAGCAAGATTACCAAAGTAGTGCTAATAACGTTTTCATTTGGAAGTTTTGTTCAAATGAAGAATTACTTTTTATCTTGAGAATTAATCACTTTTAATAATAATTATGTAATTATAATAATATTATATAATAACAATTAAAAAATAAATTTTCCTCCATCCTATGGCCTACTATTAAATGAGGCGAGAGAGCGTGTGTGTTTGTGTGTGTGGTCAGGGGGTTACCTGCGCGTTTTCCGTTGCATCTCCGAGTAGACCTCCAAATGTGATCGCATTGGTGACGGTACCCAGATAGATGAACAAGATGGCAGAAAGGGACTGGATATGGAGTGCGTCATAGAAGTCACTGGCAAAAAATGGAAGCTTCCTTTTGATATCCAGGACGAGGCCTCCGCAAAACCTTTAAAAAAAAAAAAAAAAAAACTCATTCAAGTTAGTAAGTGTGACTTTGTTTCATGTCAATACGTATTTAAACTGGATCAATAACACATGATGTTTTTCATGTATGAAAAAGGTAATACATAGAAAATATTTTTTCCCAAATTCCTTCTGTGCACCTAGCATCCCTTTTTACTTAAATATGTCTGACTGACAGAACAAACAAAACAAGCACCAAACATTTTGAAGCCATCATCCCTGGGGGTGGAATAAGTTTTTTTATTACTCTGTATGAAACTATTTAATATCAGGAGTGTCTGATTACCTTCTGGTGCACTGGAGCTCCTCTCCAACTTCGTGTCCCCCACCTCCTCCTCCTCCTCCTCCATGTCCTGAATCTTTGGGAGTATCTCCATTCATCTGAGGTGGGTCTAATCCAGAATACATGTTCTTCCTGTATTTTTGCAAAAAAAGCAAACACAAAGTACATGCTTCAATTAAAGAGGATGTCCGACCAGAAACCGGGATTACATCTTTTTAAATAAATTTGCATGATATTGTAAGAATTAGTTTCCCTCAAAGAAATGGAACTCAGACACACAACACTGAGTATTTTGAAGACGATAAACATTGAGTATATGTTACAGTTCCATTGGTTGTAATTGACCAGATATAAATGACCATAATTTGACATGTAGACAGGGAATAAATAAAAGGGAAAAATATTTATAACTTTTGGCAGCCAAAAAGTGCTGCCAAAAGCATAGTGTAGGGAAGATACTATTTTCTTTAGTTTTTAACCCAATTAGTGATAACTCTATTTACATTTATGAGTGATGGCTTTATTCGTTTAGACTGTGTTGTGGATTAGAGCAGACCTCTTATCTGAGGAGGGCAGAGACTTGGGTGGCTCTATTCTGATGTCAGGATCCCATTCCCCGGGAGGCAAAACGATCACCTCATCCAGGAACTCCTCGATACCAGCAAGCAAGTCCCGCCTGTCCTTTGCTTTATAAGCGATGTCATGGAATACCTGCAGACAAACAAATGCAGCCTGCCAATTAGTAATCAACAATAAGTAATCCAACATGTCCTCCATTTATCAAGAGCAGAAAATGTTACGCAACATTAGTCCACTGGAAAACTTTTCCCACTCATTTCCGATAACTGGAACAAAGAGCACAACGTGTAACCTATTGCAATTTATGGCACCTCAACACTCTGCTATGCAAACGAGAACATTTCAAACACTACCGATGACCCAATGTTCACGTATTCCTGTACTTAGCCTGCCACGAATACTACTGAGATAGATACAAGATGTGTTGACTCAAAAAACACAAACATCTGATAAACCTGTGACATGACTGTTGTGGGAGGGCCGTGAGGGTAAAGTTTAACTTGAGGAAATCCAGGAAAAAAAAAAACTTCCGACCATGTTGACATATGAGATATGCAGGGAGGAGTTGAGGCCTGTGGGAAAATGCAGGTCAGGTGCTCTCAGGATTAAGAGCCAACACGCAAGGTTTTTTTTTACATTCAATTCACACCCCGTTGGTGCATGTGAAATGCATTTATATGGCCTGGTTTTGTGGCATATGTCGCACCAGTACTAAAGGTATGTTGCTCAACAGCCAAGTTATAAAATGGGAACTGAAAAAATCCAGAGAAAAGAGAGACAGAGAGAGAGGGCTGACTGCAACCGCAGATGACAGGGGGGGAGGTTTGGGCCACACAACTCAATGAAATTGCTTTAATGCAAGTAGCTTAACCAATTCACATTTTCACAAGACTGGACACCTTACTGAACAGAAAATACAGCGTACCCAGTACCATCTCATTCATCAGTTTAAGGAGAGACTTTTCTTTTGAATGGGATGAATGAATACATATTAATTTGCTCTAAATGTCCACAATTGATTTCACATGATACTTTTTGTGTATTACAACATCTGATATTTAGAGACTAATGCATTAGAGGTCTAATGCATTACTCAACACTCCATTAAGTATATATACAGTTAACTCTAACTGTGAGTTGACTGGGCCATTTCATTTTTACAGCAAAGAAACACGAGTGAAGAGTACATTTTTTGACCAAAGCCCTTTCAGGTTATTTTGCTTATGTTATTCCCTCACAGGAAGCAAAATGAAATAACCCAACAACCGTGAGCTCATCACGTCACAACTTGCCTCATCTGACATCAGTGTAGCTATGGCTCTTCCAATCTCACGATAAGACTTTACTTTTCCTTTAGGGCCCAATAGGACAAAGAGAAATCTAGGCAACAGAAAGGAAATGTTATGAACTCAGAACAGGTTGGTCTCAGCTTTTATGTTCACAAGCTGCCGTTCTCATAGAGTACCTTGTGGGCACAGGGACTTCTGTGAGTGCCCCCAGCATGACAGCCTGCTGCAGACGAACAAACGCAATGAAGGGAGTTTCCAGGAAATCCACCTCTCCAACGAGCACATTTGAGGCCTCAGCATCACGGGGCAACTTCTTCATGAACTTGTTCTTTAGCTGTGTGGGCAGAGAATGGGCAAAGCAGGGAGAGAAAAGACTGAGTGGCCAGATAGAAATGCAACAGCGACAATGACAATAATTCAAAATGGTTAGTAACACACAAACGCTGCAGATTAGCTTTGCACAGATATGTACTGATATGTTTTATGATCAATGTTCCTGTGATTAAAATAAAATAATGTAGAAATAATAAAGCAGAGACTGACATGGTTTGCCTACCACCTCTATAAAAGTGTAGGAACACGTAGTTTGTACCCTTTCCTTGAATTATGTACAAAAGAGCAACATGATTTTATGCCTTCCAATAAACTTACTTTACAACAGTGTATATCCAAAGTCTACAAAGTTTACATTTTTAACTTGGCAAATGAATAGATGCAAACACACAGATAAGCCATAATATCAAAATCCCTGAGAAGTGCAGTTAACATAATATGGTTACATTATCTGTTGGGAATGTTTGGAAGTTACACTCAAACACTCTGCTGAACATTGTTGCAAAGCTGGCACACCTACACAGCAGCAAGAGACACTTCTGGTAGACAACAGCTAAAGGGACATCATGAAAAGCCAAAGTAAACTGGCTTGCCTTACACTTTAGATCCCGATCTGATCAGTCACTGTTGCTAATACTTGATCGCAGGATGCCACTGGACCCCAATTTTTTTGGCGTCACTTAAAATTTCTGGCTGATCAGAGTAAAATGCAGGAGGGAAGAAAGATTCACTTGGAAGGAGATGATTAACCAATCCATGGAAAAAATGTCCGAGGGTGGACCATCCTGATAAATTGACACTTTCAATAACAGTTGTTACAGTTTAACAGACTGGATTCTTCCTACATGTGGTGCATCAGTCATCACGACCGTGAGGGAGGAACTGCACAGTGGACAACAGAAACTCAGGGAAGTCTTTGTTGTCCTGCGTCATTTCATGCAGTTATAACAAAGAGACACATTAACAGGTTACCTGATCCTTCTCTGGTTTGTCAGAGAAATCACTCAGGCTGTTGGAGGTGAGGTTCCTATGGGTGGTAGTTGGACTACCTGCAGAGAGGCAAGAGACCTTAGGAATCAAAGAGGTCAGGCAAAGAGGTCAGGCTAAACAAGCAAATCAGCCGAGCAGAGGACTAAATCGAAGAAAAGAAAGGCAAGTGCAAAGTAAAAAAGGGGAGGGCTGGAAATGTCGGCTAAATGTGGCAAGGCTTAAGCTTTAGGACTAACACCAGATGGTTCCTCAACAGAGAGCAAAGCTGGGATGCATGGTCATCTGAGGTCTGCTGCTTATGTGCATCAGCACACAGGCTAAGGCAACTACTGGCAAATGAATGAAAGTGTATATATCTTGGAACTCAGTTTGGTACGTTCTGTATTATTCGAGTCAATGCCATTGATCTTCTGTTGCCAAATAAACAGTTTGTAGTATACTGCCTGTTCCAACACAGAGCTTTTTCAACACTTTTCTTTTGCCACTGTTCATCATTGCTATGAGGCAACAATGTAGCTTTCAGCTGGAGGGCCGTGACCTCACTTACAGAGGTATCCCATGCTGGAGCTCCTCATGACCTCACATGATTCCATCGACTCTTGACTTAAAAAAGGCACTGGCTGCTCGAGGGTTTGGCGGGCTGCAACACCCCGGATGCCGGAAGTCAGAGACAGCATACACCCAAAGAGGAAAAAGGAGTAGAAAAATACGAACAAAGAGATTGGAAGGGTGGAGGTAGAGAAAGAAGGAAAAGAAGTGAAAGACTGCATTAGAAAAAAAAGTGTCCAACAGAGTTGGGATGGGCTTAAGAAATAAGGAGACAGTGAAAAGTTGGAATGTTTGGCTTGAAAAGGATTTAACATGGGGGTTTTTTTGGGAGGGGGGCTGTTTTTTTTTTACCATTCTCCTGGTTTGAAAACAGTCGACTTGCACTAGAAACACTCTTGCCAATATCTGCTAGAGATCGCAAGTTGGACTTCTTGGTCTGGTGGCGATGCTTTCGTAGCAGAGTGTACATGACCTTCTCCTTCAGCTCCGCCTTCAACTGACCAGTCTCAATCTGGTTATCAGTGATCATTTCTGTTAAAGTACAGTGAAGATAGACACAGAGTCATCCTCATGTTCCTCAAAACGTTCCACGTATGCGAGTTCTGGGTCCAGCCAACCACGCTTACCGACCACCTGTGGCAGAGAGGAGGCCTCCATGTCCAGCAGGATTGTCCCCTTCTCGATGCACATTTTGAGCTCCATCAGGCTGTGTAAGGACAGCGTGGCGACATGAGGCTTGCTCCAACGCTCTCCACCCTTCTCCACTTTCTCCTCAAATTTGATCCATCTACACAACGGAGGGTTAAAACAAAATAACTAGATGAAGATTTGACAGTGAATTTGAAGGATTATGAAAAAAATATCAGCAACAAAAAGAAAACATGTTTTTGTCACAGTTCACAAGGTAGGTATGGGGGGATATGTGACAGCACAGGAACAAAAACCAAGTCACTAGACTTGGGGGAAAAAAAGCACTATCCCACCAGAATGGCTTCTGCAACTTTCAGACCACACATGGCTCAGTTATAGAAAATGGGACTTTGTATCCAACATGGATAAGCTTTGACCTAAAGGTAATACTGTGGGACAAGGATTCTTTTTAATAACAACGCCTCACATGTCACTGCTACAAAGAGCCTTTCTCCTGAGGCCTGGGGATGTGGTTTCGTCTGAGGATAAAGTATCCCTCTGGCTGAACTCTACATGCCAGCTACGGCCAGCTTACTCGGAGAGAAGACTACAGAGACTTCAAAGTGTCCATTCACACTCACTCTCAAACCCCCCCTCCGGCTTCCCAAAACAGAACAAAAAAAATTAAAAAAGGATTTGTACCCAAGAGGAAATGCTTTTGCAGAGTGAACTAATTCTTCATTAAGTGCTTTAGTGTTACTTCTTAAAGTATTGTTAATAGAAACATATACGAGAGCAACTTTGCACATCAAAAGGAGGAGTCAAAATGCTTAATAATTCCATGTGCTGGTGCCAAAATTTCATGTGCCCCAAAGTAAACTGTAACAGCAAGTCCTGTTCTGAACATGTGGGAGTTTCTGCCTTTTCCTGGTCTCACAGGCAGGTAGCACAAAACTCAATCAGATAAGAGCATACTGGGTGTTCACTGAACTACAGCCTATTTCCCCACGCATACAAAACACCAAGGGATTGTATTCCAATTTCGGAACTGTGAGGCAGGAAATTTAGACTGCACTGCCCGCAACCCTTGATGTTAAAGAGAGGTGGGGCATTGCTGACATAACAAATGTCTACATTTTAGGATGTCGGGGCCCGGTGGCTCACCTGGCCGTTTCCTTCCACTCCATCTCCTGACCATCCACTGAGAGAAGTTCATCCAACTCGGTGAAGAGCTGGGGAGGTGGGGGGCCGTCATCCTCCTCACCCAGGATAAATCTAATCCTCTCAGCAGGGGAAACTGCAAGAAATATAGTTTTAAGTTGTTACACACAATACCCATCTGCTCTGACAAAGGCCCCAACAATACAAAAAAGCACAAATTTTTTTTTAAAAAATAGCATGCCAAGAAAAGAAGGGTGCTTGAAGACACAGAGGCAACTGATTTAAAGTTGAGCTAAAATTAAAGTTTAAACCACAATAATTATCCAAAGCAGACATGCAAATCCAACAAGGAATGTGTAAAAAGAAGGGTTACGAAGTGGCAAAGTCAAAGGCCACATTTCAATCCCTTTCAAATGCTGTGGGGGTGATTTTAAATGCGCACTACGTGCATCCAGCTACTGAGAGATGGAGGAGTTGTTCAAATTTTTTCATGGTGACTGCACAAAGCTCGTCACCACAAGTATTTTTTCCCAAAAACTTATAGTATCTAATTGCGTTTGTATTCTATAATAACTATTTGCTGATGTTGTTTAGATCTAAAAAGATAATCTGCAGGTCCTGTCTCAAAGGAGGAAGTCTTGCTCTGATTGAGCCAAGAACTGAGGACCGAGGTACATTTTTACTGCTTGAGAAGGAACTTCCACCTTGTATAACACTATGATGAGAGGCATGTACACAAAAAAAGAAGAGGAAGACATTTTTACTTTGCTTTTCTTCTGAGAAATTACTCCAATAGCAAGGCTAAGAATCTCATACCCTACAGGTTTAGCAAGAAAACTTGTTTAAATTTTGCAACATCGAATCCTGATGGGTCATCAGTTTTCAAGAGGAAATCATTATTTATGTTCACACTTCTAGTAAGGTTGTGCAACTGTTTTAGGCTGCAAGAAACAGGAGTCTATTTTTCAATCGTTCTTCATATGAAGTAGTCAGGACTCTGTAGGTCGACAACTTAACAACGCTGCAGCGCGCGTAACCTTTTAATCCTGAAACAGAGTGCTGACTCTTAATTTAGGATGGTTGTTTATAAACTAGTTAAAGCTGTTCTATTATGGCAAGCACATCTAATATTAAGCTATGTGAAGGTCAGGATTAGCGGCATGAAGACAGCTTTGAATGTCGACATCATTGCGCAGTGCACTCCCAAAGAGATGCACAAGATAGTCAGGATGTGTCCAGTGTCCTTTTACTGATGTGCCAACTTGCACAAGACAGGACTTACTGAGACCACACATGCCACGATTCACATCCCGGGTCTAGAAAAAAAGGGTTATGGGAAATATGGCCTTTGATGTGGTCAGACAGCTTTACAAATGGACGGCTCCGTAGAGTTTGCAAAAATCATCAGGATTATGTGTATGTAAAACAGCATAAAAATCTAGTGTACGAGTGCCTGCATTAAACAGAGACTTTTAATCCTCGGATGCATATCAGGCAAACCAAATACTGAATCCAGTAAAAAAAAAAAAACACTAACTACAGAGTAACTACATATTTAGGTACTGCAATTGCATCTCCCAACCCTTTATGGTAAAATGTACACATATGCTGCTTGTAGGGGCTATAAATATGATTTAAGAACACATGCCAATCCACATGTCATGTAAGTAGGAAGCAACATGCACAAAGCCAGCAGAAAAATCTTTCCAAGGGGTCAAAGAGGTGGTTTAATGCTCAACAGAGGAAATATGCTTTTTCCAGCTGTGACATATCATACACAAGGGCTCTGCCCCTTCACTCAACTTTCCAAGTGTGTGTTTACACTTCACATTTCCTGAAGAGATGGTGAAGATGGAGGATGGTAGGAGCGTGTATCTGTGTCTGTCTCTATGCAATGTCAATCTAAATGTGTGTGAACGGTGTAATAGTGTTAGAATTCTACAGAAACACAAAGCAGCAGGATATATCTGAAGTTTCAGTTTGAAACAGCAAAGATACCAGCGGTCAGACAAGGGAAAAGGTGATAGCTGTCACTACGACAGAGCGGCACCGACTCATCATTGACATGTTGCACAATGTTTACTGCCATTTTTATAGAACAAAAGTTGTGGAGCTGTTATCAGTTCAACAAAGTTATTAATTACACGTACAAAGACAATTCCGTCTGTCCATGACCTCACATAAAAGGTTTATTGGTTTTGGAAAACTTGGTAGCTTTTGAAAAGGTAAAAAATATATACATTCACATTATGAGTTTCACAGTGTTAAAACACATTTTGTTGCCATGTATACAATTCTCAATGGCTTCCACTGTAACCAGAAAGTGTCAATGACATCTGGAGAGAAAGATTAATATGAGCAAACCACTTATCATATCAAGGCACTTGTGGATGACTAAGCACACAGGCTGGTTTACACCCGAGCATAAGGCACTACAGTGGATTACAGCGTCAGAGGATTATTTAAAAGCATGGCAACGACACCGAGACTGAAATAACAGCCTAAAGCTTTGCCAGCATGATTGAAAAAGTCAGGGAAAAATAAATGACCCAGGTTCAATTTTCTGCCCATTTCACCCACATGCACTATTAATTACCACAGTTTCCTTTGCTCTGCATTTGTTTGACCTGCTTTACAAATTTATACACAGTAGGCCTCATTCTCTGTACTGGTCTAAAAGGAGTAAAAAAAAAGTGGATGCAACAGCTGCTCGATAGGAAGGATATTAAAGAAAAAAAAGACAAAAGCTGTCAGATAATAGATGAGCTGTAAAGTCCCCCACAACTTCAGTCCCGATGCTTCATATTACACTTTCGCACTAAGCAGAACAGGTCAATTTGATCCGCTGCGTCTTTTCAGCGACGCATTTGTACCACAGAGAGTTTCAGACACACAAGGAAATATACTGCTGAATTTGTTCATGTAAAAAAAGAAGTATTTTTCATGCACCATAGGGACTTTGCAAATGCTTACCTAACGTTCTATCTAGAATCCTTGTTTGATTGCTAGTGTAGGAAAGACTCATCTTGATTAATATTTTACACACATTTGGCTTTGTGGTTACCAAATGGATACATTCCCCTTGTTTTGATCTGCTAAAACAATCTATTATTAATCAAATATGCATTTTTATTCTTTATTCTTTAAGCCCTCTGAAAAAAAATCATTTTGACTTGCTTGTTTGTCAGGTTGGAAGAAAGTCAACCATCTTTATGATGTTTTTTTTAAAATGAGCTTTTATTTGATCAAAGTGATCATTTATACATGATCAGAAGTACTATTTTACCTTGATCCAAACTTATTCAGGGTTACTATAATTGTTCTCACATTTCCCAGTGATGTACGAGGCAAATCCCTGCCTTTCCTCACGCTCAACTCCGGTGTTTTGATACCTTAACGATTACCCCTACCATCACAAACACCCTCCCATTACGCTGAGTTTTTAGGCTGAGCCATTCCAAAAGGTAAATTCCGTTATTGTAAGTGGTAATTGTATGTGTTGCAGTTAGAGTGCAAGACACAAACCACCCAGGAGACTTGGAACAAAATTGCAACACTGAGCAGCGCATCCAATTACAGCATTTACCCCATTTAGTGTATACTGATGCTAAATTACAACGCTGCCTCCAAAGCTGCTGATCCTTTCCCACCTGTGGTAACACATCAAAAGACTCTCTCGTGTTAAATGTGGATGTGCAAAAATGATTCTCAATCTGGCAGAAGACAGCTCTGGGAACTTTCTGTACCAGTGTTCCTAAAGTGTAAAACTTTTATGTGGTTTGCCAACAAAATCAGAGACAAAATGTGCTCTTTTTTTCCCTTCAGAATACAACTTGTCTGAATAATAATCATTTCTCTTTACTCGTGCAGATTGATCACAGGTAGTCATTCGCACTCCTCTAACTTGCGCAACAGCTTTACTTTTTCTGCTTGTCCTGCCTGTTCTGGGTAACTCCTTTTTAGCCACCTACCTACTGATCGCTTCTGGGAATCCCATCTCACAAATCCCAAAGAGCACGGTGTTAATCACTAAGGGGAAAGATAATACCCCTCTTTGTGTTAACTTTACACACTTTAAGCCAATCCAGTGTCATTTTCAGATTAGTTTGTGGTGTCATCCAGTTCCCATTCCCATGCTCCATTACTTATGTTAGCTGCAGATTTCTGCTTCAGGACCCCCTTTCTCTCTGCTTTGCTGGCTGACACCCTAACCAGCGGATTTTTTTTCCACCTCCTTTAACACAGAGGCACTGGTGTCCTGAAGGCTGTGATTTGTGGAGTGCTGCTGGAAGTTTAACCAAATGGCTTCACCAACATATAATAACTCCGGTCGACAAAGTACATTTTTCAAGCAGGTTGCAGAATAGAGCAGAACTCACCGAGGGGTTTGAGGATGTTTACGCTGGAATCATCGGTGACCTCCCCGTCGGATTTGTATCCCTCTGTACTCTGTTCGACCCGTTCCCGCTTGTCTTTGTGGCTGGACTTGCGCCTGTGGCGCCTCCTCCGGTGGTAGCTCTTAGGAACGTTCACACCAATGTACACGGTGTGGTGACCTGTGACGGCACAGCACAATACAGAACCAGGAATTAAAACAAGAAAACATTCACAGTTTAAAAGGAAACTGCGTGAACGCTGCTTAGGAGTAATCTGTGTCATCAAATACCGGAACAGAAATGTTGGTTCATCTTGACAGGACTTTAATGTGCTCTTCTCAAGGAAGGAATCTCTTCCTTGGGAAGGGCACAAATTATTATATTGGCCAACTACTTCCTGCAAAGCTGCTCTGACAGAAACGACGACTTATTGTCTCCAGGAAAAGCTATTTATTTATCCATTTACTCAGTTCAACCACCATATTAAAGTAGCATGCCTCATTGGTTTAAATAGAATCTTTCACATTTCATGGTGGTCCGCCTTACTCCACTATGGATACCTACATTGATGTGGGGGAAGAAAACAAAAAAAAAACACAGATATCCAAGAGGGAAAACAAAGCATCTAAAGCACACAAATAGCTTGAGATGCCAAGAAATCTGGTGGGATTTTCAGCATGTGAAGCCTTAAGTGGCGGTTTGTGAAATATGTAAAATTCTTGTGGGTGTCTCTGACTGAATCCTTTTGTGGCTCTATCCCATAGTCAGCAGCAGACAGGATTAGAGGGAACTTTCTGTGCAGAAATATTACTCAATTGTCTTTCTTGAATGAGCATCTGTGGTGAAATTTGTGTGTGGGTGATAGCTGAAATGGTCAGATAATGGATAGAAAATGGACATTTCAAAACCTACCACGTACACCAGGATGACAGTGAATTAGGTTTTAATCAGTGATCCTACCTTCTACTTCTTCCTCATCACAGACGTGCTTGACAAAAGATGCTCCTCTGTCCACAATAGCTTCATCCTCCATTCTAGAAGACAAGTGCAGAGAAAAAACACATAATTACTACATAGGGCCGCCTGAGCCTCCAACATTGTGAATGAAACCTAACCTACAGGCGTAAAAACACAGTCAGGAGTGTAAAACAAAGCAGTTGCAAGGGTATTCCAGGGCAGAATTCTCCTCTCTTATGTGGTATGTGGCACAAAAAGTGAAAAAAGTATAATCTAAATGACAAAGTATGAAAGAAAACTACAAACTCAGGTAGCATGTGGATCATGTTTTGTCCAATTGCCTAAAAATCATCAGTTAATCCAAAAAGGAATATGTGGAAATCGATCCTGTTTGCATATTGGCTGATGGAAATGCCACATGCAGATCTTTTTATTTCTAAATGATAATCTAATTCTAACTCGACGGGCGCGATAATCAAACATGCACGCGAGACATTTCCAAAAATCTCTTTGGTGATGACAGCTACGTGATCTCTTCTCACTTTCCAGCAGCTGCCATAACCGATGCCAACTTATTTGGCTGAAGATGGCCAGTTGAATAGAAGCAAGTTGGCCTGTAACACTGAACCAGCTTTTACAAGGCAGAATGCAGCGGCTCGGATTACAACACACACACACACATACATATACACACACACACACACACACAAAGAGGAGTGTCTGTGCTCCCTGACAGGAAGTACCCTGTTATATCTTGAAACTTTAAGCAGGCTGATGGAAATAAATAAGCGTATTGATCAATCAAAGAATAAATTATGTTGCAGAGCAGGTTAAAAAATGCTATCAGTTGCATTCCTTTGTGTTTAGGGATTACATTTTCCATTTCTACACTTTAAAAGTTGTACTTTAACAGAACTTTCTGCGGCCCAACAAGTAATAAATATTTATTGTTAATATATTGTCATCCAATGCAACTTGGTTGTGGGCTACACAGCTCATAAAATACGGGGGCTGGGTCTGTGCACAAATGTGCTCGATAAACAAAGTCAGGAAGGATACAACTTGTTCCTCTAATTGCTCTGCGAGCTCATCTGAATCTCCCCAGCGGATACGATATCTGGCCCTGAGAACGATAGAGGTACAAGGCTGATAGCAGACTTGTCGCTGCTCCCAGATCAAACAAATGATGAGGTGAGGCCAAGCTTGGTGCCAAATGTGCATGCAATAGTAATGGAGTTATCAGCATATGCGCACCCTCTTTTGTTTCCGACTGTTGCTTAAAAAGAAAAGAAGGTGACAAAGTTCCCACACACTTTGCATAGAGCGGGCCGACGCTATCATAGATCTCGCTCCTCGCTCCATGTTGTGCTCCACTTGTTCTCTATCTTCTTCCCCTTCTAGAACAGACCGTCCTGAAAATATCACAGCTTCAAGGTACTGCTTTTGTTAAACTGTTTTCTTCTTGGAAGGTTCGGCTTCTGACAGGCCAAGTGACACAGATCCAGTGACCCACAGAAACCTTATGAAACAAATGCGTGGAGCTATTTAAATGTATTCTTGCATATCAATTGCAGAAATATAGAAAATATGCTTTAGGGCAATACCAGAAACACAGCTCAATCGTGTTGTATTCACCTGTGCAAAAGGTAGCAAAGTGTTACACGTGCAGTATACGTGTGTGTATGCATAGAGGAGGGTCATGTGGGTCAGTTTAGGGGCCTGTAGAAAGTAATTCAACACACAAGGGGCAAAAGTTATCTCATGTTTCATGTTAACTAGAGCCCGTGGAGCCATAGCCGCACTATGGCTTGATTCAGGGAGACCCGGATGATATGAAATATCTGGGATATGCAGCAGAGAAATTCAAAATTTCCAATCTGAACGGGTGATACTACACAGTATTTAACTTCCTTGTAAAGCAGAGTTTTGGAATGACTAAATAGAAAAAAAGCATGTTTGGATTAAATTAAGATAAACTAACTCAATCCTTCTCTTTGGTGTAATTCACCACTGTTAAAATGATAGAGTCTTGTTAAAATTTTGTAAGGAAAACAAAAAACAACAGTCATCTTCTGCATGATAAGATCCTAAACTATGTCTCCTTAACGTCACTGTGAAGGCAGGAAATCTTGATCTTGACGTTATTTTCCTGTTTGACTTCTTGTGTCAGATTATAACAAGAAAATGGCTCGAAGGAGGACAGGGCTATCATCTGCAACACTATCTCGGCGGAGAACTTCTGTTTTTGCCTCAGTTCTCGGTAACCTCATGAGGATGGATAAACCTGTCTGTGCATGAGAAACTGGGATCAGCTGCTGGGGATCAGGGATCATCCCCATCTCTTTATAGAGTGACGCACCCAATCCCAGCAGCCAGCCATGTTTACCAAGAGGGCAACAAGTGCATCCAGCAGAACAATTACAAGTTATGAGCCTTAAGGGGACCAAACTTATTCCGTGGCCATTAAATGCACTGACCTTTAAAAAAAAGGCACAAAACATTAGTCTAATTTTTGTATTTGCTGATTTTGGAATTGATTTTAAACTTAAAAACTTGAGTTTAAATCTTTGCAATTTTTAAAATGCATATTATTCCATGTAATATATATATATATATATATATGAGAATTCACTTATTACGAATGTTGGAGATAATTGTGGAATTTTGTACAGACAACGCCTTTAATTTAGGGATTTTCACAGAATAGGTGACAACGGTCAAATTGTTATGACATCAGGAATTTTCTGCAAGATGATCACGGAACACGGAAATGGATGGGTCTTCAGTTGCGCATAACTCAGCTTAACGAGGCTTATTATGTTCCAGTACGCGCCCAAAGGAGAGTCATTGCAAGGAAATGAATGGCACAAAAACAAAAGAAAAATACTTCTGCTTCCTGCAAACCAGATGGCACAATCTTTACCGGGGACAAAAGAACGAGGAATTAAGTCGCGTTTGTCACAGTTTCTGTTGTTGCGCGGGGCAGGGCAGAATTGCGAGACAGGTGAGCTTATCAGTCACACACTCCTGCAAGGAAAGGTGCGTCTGTACTGAGATTGCCGTGTTTCAAAGTAACCGTGACGTCTGGTTTGCTACAGCTTCGGCATTCGACGCGCAACGAAGACGCACACGCTGGCTCGCTTTTATAGAAAAAAAAAGGTCAGCTCTTACAGCGCATGGGCTGTGGGACGCAGGCACAGCTTAATTCATAAGGATGCGCCACGGAGATATCTTCACCACTGGGCCTGCGCGCAGTTTGGCTCTCTAATTGATAGTGACAGGTCCTTGGAAAATAAGATTACCGTCCGTTCACAGCCGCACTGGCTTATGCAGCCAATGGGACAGCCTGAATGGCTGAAATGGCTCAAATCTATTACAATAGTTCTGTTCCCCTCTGTTGTGACACGTTGTCCAAAACACCAAGTGGCTGAAAGAGTGTGAGCGGCGACTCGTTTACGCACAAAAGTCACCGCTCGTATACTTAAACGCGTCCAAATAGTTGTTGCCTGGTCCGCTAAATGAAGTAGATGTCGTAATTTGCACTGAAACGGCCCACAACTTCGGACTGGAAGCGTAAAGGGAAAGCTTCCGACACAGCCAGCTTGCAGTTTTACGAGTATCGAGGCATCATAAACTTACTTGCTCTTGTCGGCACTCATGGTGACAAATTCCTTCCTTGAATCCGATCGGTTCGTGTGTCCAAGTGCGTTAACGCCACAATGTTGGCAGATCTTCACCTCCTCCGGCTGCTGCGCTCTCAAAAAGAGTCTAAAAGTAACAAAGGGGAGCGATGAGTCGCGGCTATCTCTCTGGGATGATCTCTTAAGACTCCACGAAACCAGCTCGACATGTGAAGCACAATGCGCATATCTAGCTGGACTTCTGGCTCTGCTCGTGCGGTGGTAACATCTTAAAGAAAGTTACCACTTGGAAGCGCGTGGAGTCTCCGTGTGCTGCGTGTCTTTTTCCATATTTTAAGTACCATCCCTCCTCCTGCGTGACGCCACCGGGGGGGCGGAGGTCAAAAAGTTACTTCTGGGTGGCGCAATAAAGGTTTCAACTCAGACAACAAATCCTATACTGCATTCTCTTTTTAATTAAAAAAATATATATAAGAACTTATATGATCTGAACCCAATGATCTTTACAATTACCCAAGTCATGGTTATTCATGTTTATCTATTACACCACACGTCAAATAAAATATATACACATTCCATCACAGTGAAATAATTGTAGATGTTCAACTTTTTCCATCAATATGTATCAGTGGGTGAGCTCTTGAAGCTGACCCATGGTTCTCAATAATAACACATCAAAAGTGAAAATCAAAGCAGCTATTTCTGGTACTTTTTCCCCATCAAATCCTATTGGCAATACCAAGTAAAGACAAGCTGGGAGGTCAGAAATAGCTGACTGGCTGTAATAGGAACTGGCGACATCTTCTGGAAAAGCTATACAGACTGTTAAAGAAGTATAAAAGGGAGACCAGAAAAGTTATAAAAAAAAGAAACATAAACAAAAATGTACTGAAAGAAAAAATAATAATAGTTAAGAGCATTTTAAGGTTTATTGTCTTAATGGACATTTGATACAATCTCATATGCACTCCACGGGATTAATAAATATACAAAAAACATTGAAAAAGAAAAACAGTATGAATTTAAAACCAGAAAATTCTAGAAGAGTAGAAATCATTGATGAAGTATTTTCCCATTTCAAATCATCCTATGAAATTTTATCCTGATTCAGCACCATTAGCTGATAAAGTTTACAATGTGCTCAAGAACTCCTTCACCTGAAAATGAATCACAACAGAAAATCAGTCAGCTTTACCAGCAAGAAAAAAAAGGAAACATTTTAACATTGCACATCACTATGGCAGTTCCTTACACCATCCCCTAAGTGCAAAGCATTCTGTGTATTTTTCATTTTTATGTGCCTCTGTTTACTATAAACATGGAAACTGCCCAATAAGCAACAATCTAGGCCTGACTTTGCACATGTGTAACTTGTTTTTTAAAGAGATGAGTGATTAATGTTTGCTTATTGTCACCAAGAAGAAAAATCTAAAACAAATTCCTTAATAAACATGATTTATCTTTTTAATTAATATGTTCTGAAGAAAATACCACAATCTAATTCCGAACTCGTTCTGGACAGAGGGACTCAGATCGGGTTAATATGAGGTCGTTGCAGAAGATTGCTAAAAGCCCTGCGTTTTGGTTCTGGTTTCAGTCGATGATGTTTTGTAATCTAAATAATTCCATTCATGACACAATAAAAAAAAAAAAAAAAGTGGGTTACACATGTCAGCTGTTCATTTCTTTTACTTAAGATAACACTGCACATAAAGCGGCCTAATCTGAAACCAGCGTCACACCAGCTCAGAAGCTCGTACAGAATCAAAACTTTAGAAACGAGGTCAGATTTTGAATGTTTAAACACACTTAATGATAAACACTGTTCAGATAAAAGTTATTTGGATTAAGGAGATTGCCTCTTTTCACACATGCTTCCAATATTGTCAACAAACCGGATCACATATCTGAATTGTTGTGGTGAAAGCTCCTCCGATGGGTCACTCACCTTCTCAATCATCACAGAACTCCTCACGTTATTCCCTTTAAAATCGTCATCTACATCCATTGTCAGGACAGGAACGTTGTTGAGGTACTCAAACTCCATGCTGTAGAACACATGAGATGCTTTTTTTGTGGTTGGTGACGTTTAACATGGTCTCCATTCATTTTAGAAGATGAGGGCATCTGGCTTTGTGGAGGAAAGCCGTGAACCAAACAGGGCCGAATGGAGGAGGTCAGGTTTAATCTGATTTCACAGAGGCCTTTGTGTTGCAGACCAGATCTTGTTTTAAACTGTGAAGTCATAACCATCTGCAGGTTACTGCATTAACAGTACAATAACTGAATTGATGTGATGACAAATCCCCCGGGCTCTGTTCTATAGTACAAACACCTACTCTCCCACAATGCAAACATGTCATTAAACGTGTGCGTGTGTGAATGTGTGTGTGTTTGAGCACACGTGTTGACCCACGTCATGGTCTTGTGCTGGAGCCAGCTCTCATGTTTAAAGTGGAGCTTCTCGAGATACTCCAGAGGGATGTCTTGCTCCTCCGATCTGCCTCTCAAGTGTAATCTCTCTAAACATTTCTACACACAGAGAAGGGGAGAGAAGGGGAAAACCTTAACAGTAAAAAAGGACAGAGCTTTCTACTTCTATTCATTAAAAATGGAGGAAGTCTGTACTTCCATTATAAAACTCACTGAATGGTAGGTCAGGTCAACAAATAAAATAAATTTAAAAAAGAGGGAAATGAGAGAGGGTACCTCTGGTGAAGCTCGGAGGTAAATGATTCCATCCAGCTCGATGTGCTTGCCAAACTGGTTGTGCAGCCAGCCATGGCAGTCCTGATAGACAGACCATTCAGTCTCATTCATGCATTCGCTCTCGTAGAGATTGGCCGCAAAGATGTACCTGGGACATGAACACAGAACAGGGGACGAGCTTGAGATTTAACCATTCGCTAAACACATTTATTTCATTTTTGTCCTGTAATGTCCCAGGGTGAACCTTTTCAAATATTGGGAACTACAGCAGAATTTTATCATTCATTCGATTCTGACTGTGCTGACTGGAATAATTATTATGTTTTAGTCAAATAAACATGGCACCTGTCGCTGTAGATGGATCGCTCGAAGAACTGCACGGGATTTTCAGCCTCTCGGAGTTTCCCATTGGCCGATTTGATCTGGGCACGCACCCGGCTGATGCAGGCGTAGCTCTGGAAGGTGTAGGCCCACCTCTCTGGCTTCTTGTACATCATCTGCAGCACGTTTCCCCCACTCCTCTGGGACGTGCTCAGCTCCTACAGCACACGATTCAGGATGGGGGGACAAATTTATACATAACATGAGACAATTCGACAGCTTATTTTCAACTCAAATCACACATCCTGCAACCTGAGCTGCACAACTCCAGTTAACCGTCACCCTTTCCTGATAATTTCATAATAATTTCAAAGTGTTTGGTTTTAAATACATGGCATTGAGGTTTTTTGCCACCACGCTTTGGCTGTAAATTTGATAATTCACTTTTTAATTAGATGTATATGTTGTGTGATGGAGGTGTGAGGTAAAAGTGTTTCCTAACTTTTTAGAATAAAAGTTAAGATAGAAATACAAATTTAAGCGTTCTATATCCTTCTATATCAGTAATTTGGAATAAAGCAAAACTATATATTACTGTGCTACATAATTTAAGATTTGTCTCTCAATTTTTAAGATAGATTTTGTGTACTTTGAAGATCCCGTAACAAGCTCTGAAAATAAAACTGATGCTTTGTGCAACAAGCAGCAGAGGGTGCTCCAATATTGGTCAGAGAAGCCTGACCAATAAAGTCCAGCTGAGGCAGAGCATTCTTATAATGCCTCAATGGTCTCACATTGTGCTGCACCAGCACCCCGGTGCACAGGCTACACTTTTACAATGCTAACTAAACTTAATAATGTTGATGTTTTATCAGAAGAGTGAAAGTAAATATTTTCTTCACACAGGCTGAGGAGGTTCAGACAAAATAAAGTTTTGTCAGCAGTTACACAAACGGAAGCATCAACACAATTGAAAACATTTAAGTCAGAAAAGCAGCAACGTGTCGGTAAGAAAAACAAAAGTAAACAAGCGTGTACACCATAATGGAGCCTGGTTCTCATTACAGAGCATAATAGATCAAAATACTTGTTTAAATCCACTGTAACCAAAACAAAGCTGAATGCACCAGTTGCAGGCAAACATAGACGTGAACCCCCTGAACTTTTAGTGTCATGCTGAGGGTTTGTGGGACGTTAAAGATGATTGCCTTGTGGATGGCATGTGGATCTCTTAAGAGGGGGACCATCTGTCCCCCTGAGGGTGTGCTGGTGGCTTTACCAGTGCAGATATTTGGACAGATAGCAGCTGCGCTCTAAATACAGATGGAGGGCTCCCCAGTGATACTGACATGTCCAATTGGCTGTATGTATGCTCAACCAGTTTCCCCAAGTGACCAGACATATATGGGAGTTCACTTTTAACTGTCCGTTATGCGTTTAAATATCAAGAAAACAGTCTTTACAGTAGCTTCTGTGAGATTACTGCCCCCCAGTGCTGTAAATTCATACCTCAAAGTCACTTCCTGCTGTTTGGACATTGCACCACCTGGCGATTGGCTCCGGTACCACCTCCCACTCCGCGCTCTGCTGCTCCAAAAGGCGCACAAAGGTAGATTTACCCGCCGCTGAATACAAAGAAAGCGGATATTCAAGTTCAGTGGTGCAATATAGCAAACTGTATTTATGTGCCGTGTAAATATTCTCATACGCATTTGTGTTAAACAGGGAGAAGCTGATATATTTAAACTGGCGGCAAAACTCGACTGATTACTTAATTACCTTGCGAGGCTACCGGTATTTTATGCATATGTCCTTGAGAGCAATAGTAACGTTTAGACTTAAAAATGCAGAGCTTGCTTCGTTCGATTAGCTTTATGTAAGCGACACTCACCAATGTTTCCCTCGATTGAAATGCGCTTTATTCTCTTCTCCAGGGATTCATTCATGGGTTCTGGGCAGGGTCTCTTTGGGTTAGTGGGCATTTTCGGATCCTGGTGATTCTTCTAAAATCGTTTATTAAAGCAGAGGCTGCAGCAGCGAGCGTACACAGCTCCTTGTTGTTTAAAGTTTGGCGCTAACAAACGTCAGGCAGCAGCCAGTGTTGCCAACTCCTCAGTAAGGAAAGTAGCTATTGGCTCTGCTAAAAGTCGCTAGAAGTCGCCAAATGACGTCATCGCCTAATTTGCATAATCTGCCACGTGACGTGATGTGCTGCAGGGGCGGAGCGGCACCGCGTGATCATTTCGGCCGTCTATCCCGGCGCATGCGCGCTTCATTTGCAGTCCGGACGCTGAGGGTAAACATGCTGTGGGTCCTCCCCACCCCCCTAATAAACCGGAGGGACTGGTTTTAACGCTGGACGGTCGCTCTTTAAGGAATAAAAAATACCAACGGGCTGCAAACTAAGAAGACCTTACGAGACGAGGACGAAGAAGTGTCTGGAAGCAGCTGTGGACGCGGAGCGGTTCTCTCTAAATGAGACGGAATGGACGGCGGCGGGGATAACGTGGCTCATGAATCTGCGGGTAGCTACACAATTCTCCTGTTTGTCTTTAGCTGAGGACGCATGCTTAAAACATAAAGCTAGCAGCTGCCTTACCTTCTAACGCGGTATTACACTATAATAAAGTTTACTTTGGCCGTCTCTAGAAAAACGTGAAAGTGGGGCTCCACCATCTTTTGATTTCTGGGGTTTTACTTGCGCGGGAACGATGAAAATGAATCCCGTCCTCAAACTAAACGAGTTCGATATAAACCAAGAAAGCAAAAACGCCTCTCGTTCAGTTAATTATTTAGCAAAATTCAGGAGTCTGGACCAGGAGTGTGTTTACACAATGTCAAGGAGGAAAGACATCAGCCATAACCTAAGAGTCATCTGGATTCCACCACCCCTTAGAGAGAGAGTTTATTCACAGGTGAAGACATTCAGGATGGCTGCCAGTTTGTCCAACAAGGTCCCCCCTAGCTCATCCATCCCAGATGATCCGAGCAGGTTCTGCAGCACCAGGACCTTAAAGTCCACCAGGAACCCCCCAGGAACCCAAAGTGTTCAGAGTCAGACGGGAGGCCGTCTGTCCCACAGCTGAAGCTGGAGCCAGCCCCCCAACAGGACTGAGATCCAAACCCGGCAGCAGAGCCGTGCAGGAACCTCCATGAGCTGAATAGCTACAGGCAGCAGAGAGGGACAAAAGTCCTCCACAGCCATCGCAGAGACTGAGAGACCACCAGAAACCAGTTTCTAAACTGGCTGCTTTGGGTCTGCTCTCAGTTTTTGTTCCATAAATAAACCAGACAGTGTCTTCTGTCACATGATCCTGTTGTCTCTTTAGGTTCCCTCAAATTTAGAACCTGACAGGATCCAAATGAGGAGGGAAAAGGAAATGTTTCCATTTCAGGAGCATAGTTTGATGACATCGTTGTGGTTGAACTGATGGTTTTTATGTACAGCTGTCGATGGCTCAGCTGGTCCACAGATTTCTTCCTCACTAAACTTTGTCTTCTAGGAAAGGACAGGTCCAGACGATGGATTACTCGGGGGACCTCGTGAAAGTGACCTCATCAAACGGGTCGCAGTGGACGGCCCAGAAGGTAGAGGCTCTGAAACCGGCCCACTGGGTTACAGGACCAAAGGCTCTGGGTTCAGGTTGATCTCTAAAGCAGCAGATGACAAAAGATTTCACCTCTGATCCGGTTCAGTTAAGCCGTCAGGATCCAGGTATTCCAAATGGGTCCAGCTCGTTCATAACCAAGGACACCAGCAGAACCAGGAAGAGATCTCCATCAGGACCAGAACCAGGAACAAACCTCCATCAGAACCAGAAGAAACCTCCATCAGAACTAGGGAAAAAGTTAATCAGAACCAAAACCAGGACAGGATGATATGGGGGACAGAAATACGTTTGATTCAGGGCAGGTTCTGTTCATGGATCCAGTCCTCATCGGGCTGCTTTCTCTTCCAGGTTCTGGTCACCGTCCCGCTGACCCTGCTCCAGAGGGGCCTCCTCCACTTCCACCCCCCCCTTCCTGAGAGGAAGCTGAAGGCCATCCACAGCTTGGGAGCCGGCATCATCGAAAAGGTACCTCCCATCCCCGCCGGCCCGCCTCCAGAGGCTGTCGGTGCCCAGCAGCTAAACCTCAGTCCGAACGTCCCGCAGATCGCTCTGCAGTTCCCGACCCGGTTCTGGGACTCCAAGATCCAGGGAGCCGACTACTTTGGTCACATCCCGCCGGCACCGGAAAAGCGAGGCCTGTTCAGCGTCTTCTACGACCTGGACCCTCAGGTGTGTTTTTAAAGCCATGACCAAGGAGGAGCCGACTGGTTCTGGATCAGAGGGTCGGCTCCTCCCCCTCAGGGTCACTGAGGCATCATGGGAGTCTGAGTATCTGCTCCAGATGTGTGTGTTTAGACTGGGAGGAGAATGAAGGACCCAGTCCTGTGAGGTTCTGGGTATCCGATCCCTGAAACCAAGCTCAGACCCTTTGAGGCCCTGGCTGATGTAACTGTGTCCAACAGGGGAAGCAGGCGGTGTTGATGTCGGTCATCTCTGGCGACGCCGTTCCTGCTGTCTGCGAGCTGGAGGACCAGGAGGTGGTGGGAGAGTGCCTGAAAGTCCTGAGGGAGCTTTTCCCCGAGCAGGTGAGCACCGGTCAGGGGTCCGGTCGGCCACAGCATAGAGGGTCAAGGGTCAGCTGAGACTACCAGGGGAGCAACTAGCTACATGCTGAGGGGTATGCAGACTCATTATTATCATGTTGGAGATCTGATTGGACGCTGCATAAACTCAGTTAAGACATCTAAACTCAAGTGTATCATTCCCCAGTTGAACCATCTCCCTGCTTAAGATGCTGCCCCCCAACCCGACCACAGATAAGCGATGGATGATGGAAGGGTAGAAAACTAAAGGGTTATTAACCCTTTCCTGGCCCCACAGCCCCGACCTCTGCTTGTATCTCCATTCATCCCTGTGGAGGGATCACCCTCAGCCCTCCCTGTGATCATCGGCTCTTTGGGCCACTTCTCTCATATTTATCAGCATCAGAACCATTAACTATGCAGCTTAAAACACACCTGATTTCTTAGAGGTCAGAACCAAACCAGGAGAGGCTTCATTTCAGTTTGATGCTCCTCAAATCTCAATCGGTCTTCTTGAAGAGGTGAAACAGGGTTACTACAGCTGAATTTTTTTTAGCCTTTAATCTATTTATTTTATTTGGTTAAACTTATTTTTATTTGTTTTCTTTATCTTCATTGTCTGCTTTTAAAATGTAAGGTACTTTGAGTTGTCGTGGACACAAAACTCAAACTGTAACATAAACCTGTCTCGCCTCATTTTGGATGGGATTTCCCCTCCGCTTGTGGATTAAAGGTCCTCTTCCTCCCACAGGACGTCCCAGACCCTGTGAACTACTTTGTGACCCACTGGAGCAAAGACAGGTGGTCTCAGATGTCCTACAGCTTTGTGAAGACGGGCGGCAGCGGGGAGGCCTACGACGTGCTGGCCGAGGACGTGCAGGGAAAGCTGTTCTTCGCCGGAGAGGTAACTCTCCTGCCTCCTCCTGAGCCGCCCAACGCCGCCATTTGGCAGCTCGTTTTCACGCTTTGCTTCACACACACCTGAACCAGCACAAACCCAGAGATTCAACCGGCAGCAGTAAGAATCCTAAAACCAGGCACCAATCGGGTGCTGAAATTAAAACCAGATCAAACGCAACATCTGGCAAAAGTTTGAATTACTCCAAAATGTCACAGTTCCTGTAATACACAGAGAAGGACGATGATTGGAGTAGATTTGGATTCAAGCTGAAGCCCAAAGGCAACAGAAACTTGGTGTTTTTGCTGTGTACAACAAGCTGGCCAGAGGGGCTGAATTCCTGTTTTCTGTTCCGACCAATCAGGGAGTAGAGCTCTCTTCTTCTTTGGGCTTTTTTCCTCTGGTCAGGATTAACTGACTTTCAGACAATCGACGATCTCTGACCCCTCGACTGACCCCTCCCCTTAAGAAGTTTCAGGATGAGAACAGAGATTTCTTTTAGCTCCAAGAAGTCCATCTGCCTGCCCAACCCAAACTACCTCAACCAGTTGGTGACAAAAGAAATGAGAAAATAAAATGAACTCTGCGGGCTGAATATTGTCACTTAAACTCAGTGAGGACAGGAAACGGATCACCAGCTCACCGAGTCCGCTGACTGTTTCAGGATTCAGGCTTCAAGAAGCATCAGGATGTGAGGAGAAAAGTCTCACAAGAAGAAGAAGTCCAGCTGGCTGTGTTTAGGCTCTGAGCATCAGTAACCCAGCTAATGCTCAATATGTGACTGTGTTTGATTCCACTGGTTTTAAACCAGGTTTAACCTTTCATTATTTGTCATTTCTTTTCCCACCAGGCCACCAACCGACACTTCCCTCAGACCGTGACGGGGGCCTACCTCAGCGGGGTCCGAGAGGCCAGCAAAATGGCTGCTGTGTAAGCCGGCGGCCTCGCAGCCCTTGGACGCCGGCACCGCCAGACGGATGGCCGACACGGCCGGCGTGGAGCTGAGCGCCTTGGAGCTGAGTGGCGGCATACCTCTGCATCAGGGTCCAGCAGGGCTCTCTGCACCTGCTTTCACACACTTAGCACAACAGCAGGGGAGCTGCTCTATATTTATATCAAATCCCATCAGGGAAAGTGCTTTTTTCAAATCGAAAACCACCTCAAAGTGCAGCTCTGTCGGATTTCTGGGAAGCAGGACGCTGTTTTTACTCCACTTCAGATCACAGTCAGCACAGAATTAATTTGCTTTGATTTGCTTAAAACTTTAGGAAAACTAGGTCTTTAATCAGGAATACCTAAATAACTTTAATATCCTGGGATTATGGTCGTGTGATCGGGTCTAAAATATCGTTAAACACGGTGTAGTGAGGTAGATTTATTCTTTCTGTGGTTTAGACGGTTAGACTTAGATATGGAGAACTTGTTTCATGTCGGTGGATTTTTCGAAACGTTTAAAGGAGGAATTCGATCAGGACACATCAGCCGTCCCATTTCTTTCTCAGGGATGTTATCATGAAATCAAATAAGCCCATACGGTGAGAAAAGAGTGGAAAAATAATGAGAATGGACAGTGTTGGATTTAAACAGCTGTTGATGCCGGCGTGTGACTCCTTTCTGTCTCTTCCTGTGTGTCTGAGGCCTGAATATTTATCCTGTATGTGTCTAATAAACTGAGCTCAAAACTGCCGAAAGAAGCGGTTTCACTTGCATTGAGTGTTTCTGCCCTCCTCCGCCAAAAAGTCAGATCAATTCTGATTATTTCTGTTCTACATTTGGTTCTTTCAGTGTGTCTGTGACTGACATGGATATACAGATGGTTTAGCATAAAATAGTCCTTAAATGATCCCTGGTGGTAATATCACAATTTTTTAGTTGGTTTCGTTACTTGTTCCCTATATCTTAACTAATTTCGTTGGAAAAATGTTTTACATCTACTTTGAAAAAGATTGCCAGAACAGAACAACCTCAGTCATAATAAAAACACGCAATAAGGACCAGAAAATCTGACATTTTGAACCTTGAAAAAAAAATCTTTGTTTAGATGTTTCAAAGATGTATGTATGGATGCATGCATGTATGTATACATATATATGTATAATAACTGTGAATTTAAAAACGATTAATCAAAATCAGTTAAATGTAAATGTTTGTGCTCTGTATCCAGAAAGCCACATCTACTTTTCAGGATCTGGTTATTATGGACACAGATTACATGTTAAATTTCAATATTTCAGTATTTATATCACAGAAACAGTTACAGGCTTTACTAGCTAAAAACACTCAGTATCAAAAGTACAGACGCTGGTTTACATTACAACTGTATGTATGTATGTATGTATGTATGTATGTATGTATGTATGTATGTATGTATGTATGTATGTACGTACGTACAGTGGGGGAAATAAGTATTTGACCCCTTGCTGATTTTGCAGATTTGCCCACTTACAAAGAATGCAACGATCTATAACTTTAATCATATGTACATTCTAACAGTGAAAGACAGAATCCCAAAGAAAATTCCAGAAAATCACATCATATGAATTTATCAAAATTGATAACCATCTGATGAGGAAAAATAAGCATTCTTTGTAAGTGGGCAAACCTGCTAAATCAGCAAGGGGTCAAATACTTATTTCCCCCACTGTCTGTCTGTCTGTCTGTCTGTCTGTCTGTCTGTCTGTCTGTCTG